GATGTTCGGAAGCCGTCCTGCTCGGAAGGTTTGAAATCCAAAACCAAGACTATCTCAGCTGCTCAGTGCCCTTGGAAAAAAAAGGACCTCTTTCTGGGGATGAGCATTTTTAGTGGGGCTTGGCCTCCATAAAAAGGGGAACAATAATTGGTGTCACTGAACAACCAAGACCAACTTTGGGTGTTTGGGCACCTCCATTTCACGTGGCTGGCGGCTTGCCATGACATACATTTCTTGCTCGGTTGCTCAGCCCAAGACAGGTACATGGTGGGAATACAAACCTCCATTTGCTTAAGTACCCCGGAAAAATATCCCCAATAGACACGCCAGCAGGCGGGCTGAGGGACTGGGCCTGAGGCTAGTCTCAGGCTGGCATACCTTGAGACGCCGAAGGGGCTGGGCCTGCTGGATGACTTGGGGCCGGGGGGCTGAAGCACGTCAGACAGGCTTGGTAGCTGGCGTAGCTTGAGACCAGTCTCAGACACGTGAGACTGGTCGGCACGTTAGACAAACCTGACCTTGGCACGCTGGGCTGAGCCTGTTGGTGGGCTGGGAGCTGGGGGCCGGCCTAGTGGCTGGCATGCTCTCAGATGCGCCTTGTGGGTTGCTGGTTGGGCTGGGCCTGAAGCTAGTCTCAGCCACGAGGCTGCGAAGCCATGGGTGGGTTGCTGGCTGCCGGGCGGCCGGACTACGCTGCTGGTTGCGCCTGGAACTTGGGCGGGCTGGGCTGAGCTGTGCTTGGGCGGGTTGCTGGATGGGAAAGGCCTGTTTCATACACACTTGGGCCTGAGGCTGGGTGGCGAGTTGCTGGCTGGGCTGGGCCTGAGGCCGGTAAGACACGCCAGCAGGCGGGCTGAGGAACTGGGCTGAGGCTAGTCTCAGGCTGGCATACTTTGAGACCAGTCTCAGGGGGCTGCTGGATGACTTGGGGCCAGACGCGAGCAGGAGGTCAAGGCCTGGCCAGCCTGGGCTGAGCTGCTTAGCTGGACTGAGGGGCTGGGGCACGTCAGACAGGCTTAGCAGCTGGCATAGCTTGAGACCAGTCTGGCACGCCTGCTGGTGGGCTGGGAGCTGGGGGCCGGCCTAGTGGCTGAGGCTGAGCTGCGTAGCCGGACTGAGGGGCTGGGGCACGTCAGACAGGCTTAGTAGCTGGCGTAGCTTGAGACCAGTCTCAGACACGTGAGACTGGTCGTTGGCCTGAGGCCAGTCTCAGACACGTTAAACCGTGGGCGTCAGCACATTTTCGACAAAAATGGACCCATGGAGCTGGACGCCGACGAACCCCGAAAATTTCAAGGCCCGCCGGACAGGATTTTGGGCCAGCCGACATGGGTGGGGGGGGTGGGGGGGGGGGGCGGCCCGGTGGTTGGGGAGGGGGTTGGGGGAGGGGAAAAGCGAAGATTCTCTTTGGAGAAGAGATCTGAGCGCCCTTGGCCCCTTTGGGGCCGAGGCGAATTTGTTGTCGACCAATTTGTGGCTGAGCCGGAGAAAATCCATGTTTCTTGTCAACCAATGTGTGGGTGAGCAGAAGAGAATGCTTTTACAGGTCGGCAAACTTGTGGAACTTGCGCGGTCAGTGAGGGAAACTGGAAGATTCTTGAGTCAGGAAGGGGTTTGGCCCCTTGGCAGTTTGGTCAAAGGGATTCATTAGAGTTGGCCAACTTTTTAGGTTTGCAGTGGGAGGGTTTGCGTTTGCCTTTTTCCGACTCTTTCGGACTTGAGAGCGAGAAACCCCAAAGGGGTGTTTGCCCATTTGGCCTTTGATGAAACTGACTGCAGGTACCCTAGCACACTCTTTTAGTGAGGAGTTCCCTTCACTTTTGAAGAGACAAGATGGGTCAAGAGGTACACTGAGACTAGAATTCCCTCGGAACCGTGTAGTCAATTAACGCACTACGAAGTCGTCGGAAGGCCTTTCGCTGGTGGCAATGATTTGCGACTGGCGGCCAAGGGTGTTTCATGTGTTCGGGCCTCGCGGCCCTTCCAACCTAGGAACTTTGACAATGGGCTGAACGCGTAATGTCTGGTGGCTCATGTTGCAAGATGTTGTAAGGGTCATGGAGGCTGCAGGAGGGGTTTGCGCAGGTGCCTCTAGAAATAGACCCCTGAAACACGAAGGATTCCGCATGGCAAAGCTTGGCCGTTGCTGTTCTTTGTGGCCTGTGCTTTTGACATGCCAATCACGCTGAACCTTGGATCCCCAGCCATCATGATGATCCCTGGTCTTGGCAGGGAGGAACTAAATGGAAACCCTCCAGGAATACTGCAACAAACCTTGCCAATGCTTTCCTCCAGATCAGCATGAAACCAAAAGACGTTTTGGGCCCCTTTGTTGGGTTCCTTCAATGGGGATGCCCGTCTTGGAACCCTAATCCCTGCCCTTCCTCTTAACATGATAATACCTGTTGGAGGGTATCGGGAAGATCAATTTCCTCTGCCAGGGGCCCTCTGTCAGGCGCCTTGTTAGCAAAAGGGAGGGCAAATCCCATTTTGGAGTTCAATCAGCCTGCTCGCGCCCAACGATCGCCCAGGTCGGCATGAGCCGGGAGTTCGCCGAGCGGGGTTGGGCCAAAATCCATCCCAAGTGTGAATCTTTGTAGTTCTTTGAAGAGTAGTGACCCAGAACGTGATAAATCGATTTGATATTGGCCAAATCCTGGTCGCCATCACCTGTTGCTACAGGATCAGGACGGCTTGAAAGGCCGGCCTCTAGAGATGCCCTCCACACGTGTGGCTCGCTGGCGCGTGCGATGCTCGTGGATCGCGTGGCAGGAGGCAATGGAGGACCACCTCAGGTGGAAACTCGGTTGGTTGCCTAAGGTGCTTGTTGTTGACCTAAGCCGCTCTCACTTACCACTATACTGGTAAGATCCGAATCATCGGTCCGCAAAATGTGTGTGTGTGTGTGTCAGTGTCTCTACCCTTATAGTTATTTGAGGTGTTTTATATGTTTCCAAGCGCAGTGCAGGGCAAGGCACCCTTGCGAATCAGCGTGTTTCAGGACATGGGGCCCTCTTTACAAATGGCACGCCTTTTAGACCAACTGAGGATTCGGTTCCTTGGCACACTTTTCGATTTTCGTTGTCACGGGCAACGATTCCTGTAGGCTCGAAAGGTCTGACGCGGACGATGCCTCGGCCCCAAGTTGTCCGGTTGCCAGTGAAACATCAAGCCGTCATCAGGCGAGTTCGCACCTTGAGGGCACGGGTCTCAATCCCGTTGGCTGTCTCACCTGGGCCCTTGACTAGCGTCGAGGCTCTAAGATTTTGTGGCTCTCTTCCTGGCCGAATCAATGTGTGCACTTGGGTGTGTGCTTTTGTCGTTTTGTTGGGGTACTCGTTTTGGCTGTTTGAAAGGAAGACCTTAAGAAAACCACCCAGTTTGGAAATTCCCACATTTTTGAGACACGCCCACCTGATTGCCATGACTTGCACATGCTTCCTTTTGCTTGCCAGCCATGACTAGTCTACTGCTACCTCTTTAGCGGCGGGCAGCTGTGCAAGTTTTGCCACATGAGAGTAGGACGATTTGGCGCTGTAAACGCGTCCTATTTTCCTTTGTTGGGATTGTCTTGGGTGGCCATTGTTGGCTGCTGACAGCAGGGTTGTTTCGTTCAGATTTGGCCAGACCGCGACCGACATGTGCTTCCTTGGGCGACTCGTAGACCGCCTCTATGGGTCTGTCTTTTTTTGAGGGCACCCCTTTTTTGTCGCGGTTTAAAGGAAAGGCGAAAAGGAAAACAACAATTTTGTGGAGTCCCCTCAAAGCAAAACACACCCATGTAGCTTTCGTGGCCGGGCCAACCCACGTCCTAGCCTTACAAGTTCGCTAAAACAAAATGGTGGCCAAAGAACCCCTTAGCGACAGGAAGTCATTGGGAGCTTTATCACAGAACCAGGCGTTTGAGAAAACACAGCATTCCAAGATACGCCTGGTTGGTACACCACGAAAGGCTCGCCATCGTTACCCCTTTCCCCCGAATTGTTTTGGGGGACCGGATAGATAAGATTGGCAACCGGGGGCCCTTAGACAGAAAGGAGCTGTTTTCATGCAAAAACTAGAAAAGTCCCTTCTAAACCATGCCATGGTCAGTCCGCAGCCAAGAGTTTGCGTGTTTCTTTGGCCAGCCGAAAAGGCCGGCAATTGCCCCCGCAACGACCCACTTGGGGCCGTTTTTCGCGGGGCAGGGTTGGGCGGAAGATTGGTAGCAGGTCCTGCAACAGGATGATGAAACCAGCGCTGAAACTTGCCATGGTCTTTGATTTCATGGCCCAACCCAAGTTACAGCTCACTCACCGAGGGGGGAGCAAAGGGAGTCAAAAGCGGACTTAACATTCAAAACCAATGGGACTTAGATATATCTGCCCACATGTCAAACAATAGGAATGAGGTGTTGCGTTTCTTCAACGCCGAAATCCGATTTCGGAGCAACTGGTGCCGGGATATGAGGTGTTGCCGAAAACCGATTTCGGAGCAACAGCATGTGGATGACTGCCGTCCATGCAAACCGAACACAGCGGCTTCTGCCTCGGAGCAAAAAAGAGCCTGAGCACTGGCCAGAGGCGAGGTGCCGTTTTCGGCTGGGTCTTGGCCCAGTCTCCTTCAAGAGAGGATGCCGAGCCTGGCAAAGCTTTGGGAAATGATTTGCGCATCCCAATGAGAATCCCACTGTCATCACATTCGTTTGGAACCCGCTTGTCTCTGTGTCTCTTGTCTCTGTGTGACCGCAATTCCACGAGCCTATTTCACCCAGGGTTTCGGAATGTCTGTCCAAATCCGCAGCCCGATGTTTCACCGCGGGTTTTCAAATTTCCCGGATCCCTCGTCCCAAAGCCGAAATTTCGAGCCGGAAACCACCTCGCGCATCCTACCCTCACCCGGAAGCCCAAACCCAAAGACAAAAAAATAGTTCCACTCGCAGCGGCCGCCCATCGGCCGCGTGAAAACGCGCCCATGGGCCGCGCTTCGGGCACTGCGGGCACTGCGACCGAAAAGCTGAGGTGGAGACCTCCAGGTCTTGGCGACTACTACTGAAGAGGGCGACTGGCTTTGAGAGCGAGTTCTTCTGACCGCGCGAAAAGACTTTGGTGCAATCATTGGTCAGATGCGTAAACCCCATGGTGGGTGTTTAATACAAAAAGACATGCAAGCTCAATGTGTTTTTTGGTTGTCAAAATACTCATGCAAGCTTTCGTGCACACAAGTCAAAAGGTAAAACTGGTTTGGGGCTGGACAAGCGCAGAAGCAAGGTGCTAGGTGCTGTTAGGTCATAGGCTCTGATTTGTCATTTCTCTACACTACCATAACCGGCCAATGGGAGCCGCAGATGCATCAACCCGTGTCACCAAAGTGATCCGGATTCTCACTCAAGAAAGCACCCCCTGTGAATCAACTACTGTGCATGGATGAAATTCTGCACCACTTGGAAGCCATGGGAAACCATTGTTGGTTGGCATTTTCCGGGGAACCATCATTTTTGTTTGCGTTTCTCAGGTGGTGCCTAAGAGGATTTGGTCCAACAGTATGGAACCACCTGAAAAGTGATTGGTGGACATGATGTTTCACCTGACGTGAACCAAAGGGGCCCCAATGAAAGTTCCTTCCCAAAGTCCACATCGCAAGATCGCGAGGACGCCTGGCTCATCGTCTACGCCTTGGCCCTCTTGAGGTCTCGGCCCCAGGATCCGGCCGCGCATTGGAAGGTTTGGGAGGCCACTGTTCGTTGGCACCTGTGGGTGTGTGGGTCAAATTTTAAGCCAGGAACTGGACCGCAGGTGAAATCGTCCATGGTGCCATTTATCAGGGCAAGCCATTTTGGGGTTGCCCTATTTTTGACCCACAGCCATGTAGAAGAGCAAATGCTAAGCAACTGAACATCCACTTAGCTCACTTCAAGGAGTGCCCTCACGGCGCGTTTCTTTTTGCCTTCCAACTCCAGTCTTGGCCTCAACAGCTCAGCCTGCCATACCTGGTTTTGGCCACACCTCTGGTGTTGACGCGGGATCCTTTCGTCTTGAACATTTCTCGAGGTACAAGGACAAGGTGGCCGGGATGTTGGCATCAGCTACGCCGGGCGTCCCAGGCAAACCTGGGGCTACCCTCAAATCGTGGAATCCTGGGGTGGGAATGCTTTCCAGAGAGGACGTATAGGCCAGGGTTGGGGCAATATCTCGCATTGACTCATCAGCCACATTTGGCTCGGAAGCCTATCGACACTTGCCGCATCCCTGCCTCTTTCAGAAATCTTCTGGTAGCCCTCGGGAAGATGCTTTGCCCGCTCCCATATCAAAGCGGGACACGTTGAAAATGACGAGTCCCCATTATGCTAGGTTTAGACCCATTTGCAGATGCTGCTTCGAAAGCCCAAACAGACCAAATACCCTGGATGTTGCACATTTATCCTTCCCTTGCCAGATGCAGATGGATGGTATTGTCCTGCATTGAGGAATTTCCAGACTTTGAGCGACCCTAAAAATTAGCGACTAGCTATTGCTTAAGGCCATGGTGTGGATTTTCGGTTTTGCCTCACGGAAGTGACCGAGGAACCATGGACAGTACCCATCATGGACCCGCTCAGGTGCGACAGGCTTGGCGAGTTCACGAGCCAGGACTTGCCGAGGGTGTTGGGCTCTCAGGGAAAGCCCTGACTCATTGGCGCAAAGCTCGCCATCGCGGATCCCATATTTTGTCACATCCCCATCTCGACACTGTGGTTCCCGTGGACACTGCAAGTAGTGAACAAGGAACCCCTGCCAATGTACCGTGGTTCGTGCTGGTTTGTGGGTATTTTACTTGTGACACGTGCGGAATCAAGCGTAGGGATGACACGAGTCCGTTGTCCTTTGCGCCCCCAGATTGAGAGGCCCCATGAAAGCGTTTTTTGGTGATATCAACGTGGCTTCTTTTACCCCAAGGAAGTGACCTGCGCCAGCGTAGTGCAATCTGAAAACGGTCAACCACCCCAAAGGGTTCCCTCTGTCTATCCAAATTAATTACCTGGAACAAAAAAAACAAAAACTGAGCAGGTTGGTGGTGCTTCGGCCACCCTTTGCATGGTTTCAGCACTGAAAACCGCAGGGCGTGGCGAACATGGTCTACTCTCTGGGGCTGCTGCGTGTACGTCACCGGCCCTTCCTCGTTGCCGCGAGCGCCGGGCTCAGCCTGTGCCACCAGGATTCAGGGTGGGGGATGCTTCAAAGCGGGGCACAGAGTCAGTGGTGTAGCCCTCATCTTCCCTAAGTTTTTGCGAACAAAGCCCGTGAGTTCTCAAAGAGGTTCTCTGGGAGATGTGATGTTTCAGGATTCTGTGGCGTTGCCAGTGTTTCGACGACTTTGCTTGATTTAATCGGATGGAAAGGCCGCCGCTGACCAGAGGTTGCCTGACGTTTTTGGGGCTTTGCAGGGACCCAAGCTCGCAAAACACCCACACACGCTGGTTTCCCTTTCTGAGACAAGGTCTGGCATTTACCCGCATAGTCGGGGCAACCCCTTTGAAAGGAGAGGAAAGGTTGGAAAAGGTCAGCACGCGAGAGACGAGCGCTGGAGGCGAGTACGCAGGGCCGCGCCTCGCGGAGTTTTCCGAGCAAGAGGCTTATGGGGAATTGACCCTTGACGGCATGGGTGTGTCTTTTCGTGGTACCCCCGCAATGAGTGGTTGTCCTTTTGGTTTCCAGCTTGAACACCAAAAAGAAGGTAGCCTCAAAAAGACACACCCATGTGTTGCACCTTGTTCACAGTCTTCGGAAGGAAATAGTGAACAACCCCTTGCGTACGAATCTGAATGGGACGGCCTTTGTGGACATTTGGATGGGGATTTCTCTCCATTCCAGCTGCTCAAAAACATTCCGGCGCTCATCAATCGAACGTAGCCATTTTGAGAAGTCCCTTCCCCAAAACAATGAACAGTTGGGGCCGCGATTGACCGCTTACCTTGAGGCCCCTTTCAGCCTCCTGGCTGAGGTTATGACCTCTAGCTCGTAATAGGGGCCCCGAAAACCAATGATGACGACGTGTTTGGTGGGTGAATTCAGCAATGCTTGGAATCTTGGAACTGGGGTTGCCACTTTAAGCCGCTTGGATGTGCTTGTCCAGGTCCCTCTTCCCACAAAAATCTGAAACAGTGACCCGATTTGGACCAATTAGAAGTAGACCCGCATCCTTCAAGAACAGGATGGTTGGATGGGGCTGCAGCTTGCCAAAATGTAGATACAATGGCGTCTCAGCAGGGGGGGACAAGGCCGGACACAACTCGCGCTAGTGAGGTGGCTACCAAAATGAAGCACATGCGTGGTAACTGGCATCGGTCGCAGGATTTGCCTTTTGGCCCTAGAGAAATCAACAACCCGCCCCACTTTTTTGCAGCCAACATGGGAGGGCCTTCTGGGCACAACCTGGTTCGTTCCTCATCCGTGCCGTTGTGGAAACACCTTTGGGTTGGTAGAGGTGGTGATAAAATCATGGAAGAAAGCCTGGTTCCACTTTGAGACGCATGACCACGACCTTCCATTTGCTGAAGAATATGTCTCTATTTTCCCTTGTAGGTTTAAAGGGGAAAGCTATCACTGGAAATATCTGCTCATGTTCTCCAGTGGGCAATATCACATATGGACCTTTGGCCACAGAAATGCGTCTGGGGCCTCATGACCTCATCCGCGACGCGATCGCAGATGGCGAACCTGGTCTACGGCATGGCGCTCTTAAAGTGGAGGGCTTCGCCTCGCTCGGGTCTCGGCTCTTGGCTCGCCGATTGTGCGCGTGGATGTGGCGCGCTGATTTTGGAGACCTAGGTGTACTCTCTTTTGCAGGGAGGTTGGGGCCCCCAAAATGGTGGGTTTCTGTTTTAGCTTCCTTTCAACACAAAACCACGAAGGGTCCTCTCAAAGAAGGACAGAGCATGTGCGTTTTTGTTTTAGTGGCTGGTTGCATCTAAAGAGGGAGCTAAGGAGCTACCAGGAGTTCTGGAAGGACATGGTAGCTTCGGGCGGGTGGCTTTCTACTTTCCCTTTAAACCTTTACCAAAAAGGGCACAGAGCCATTTACATCTGAATCAGCTGGCGGCAGAAGCAGAGGCCTTTGTGATCTTTCCAGCCACCTCGGTCGGCACAATTGAGCTATTGGGACACGACTAAGCAACAGACTGCACAGGTTTGAATACTTGCATGAGATTTGGTGCATCGCACAGAGACGCTTGATCCCCAGACCTTGGCTCTATCTGATCAAAAGCTGGGCGATTCCTCAGCTGGAAGGCTTCCTTTTGGTTTCGATTCGCAAGGGGCTCCCGACCTTTGAGGAACACCCAGATGGGTTCCAGCTTTGTGTCACACCCGCGGGCCCTTTTTGGGCGCGGCACGGCATTGTTTGCCCTAGCGACATAAGAGAAACGATGGTAAAGCAACAGAGGTTGAATCCCAGAGGTAAGATATCAACCTTTGTTTCTGGAACCACTTTCCAAGTGCTTGAGGCCTTCTGAAGTCGTTCTGACGTTTAGCCTTCCATCACTTCCCATTGACTAGCGAAACTCGCCCCGTGTGCAGGAGGTTAAGCCGTGCCAATTTCCAGCAGAATCAGGGTTCTGGGCCCGGCTATCGATGAAAAACATGCGCGGGTGAAAGTTCCCATGGATCAAAGGGAATGATGAGCCTATTCCATTCACCGGGACAACTTAAGTCGAGCTTGGGGCAAACCGAGGGGTTGTGAGGTATAGCAATTTGCCTACCATGCACCCAGTGAGCGTTCAACGGGGCAGCAAACGGATATTGTTCAAACAGTGGCTCAACCATTTTTTTAAACCAAAAGATCGGCCCAGCCCTGCCATTCAGGCTTCTGCGAGCACGGGGTTTGCGATGCGGGGGGGCTTGCCCCTCCATTTAGGTCCAGGGCCGCAGGTCCCGAAAGCCGCGAGAAGTTGGAATGCTCCCCAGGCTTCCTCGAAGACTTTTGCCACCACGCCGCCGGCCCAGAACCTCCGGGAGCTGGGGCAACGCGGCGCGCTGGGGCGGGGAGGGGGGTGGATGTTGAGCAGAATGATTCAGGCTCCACCCTGTGTTTGGCTGAAAAGTGAGATCCCGTGGACAGAATGGAAGCATCCCTCAAAAACAGTTTGGAGAGGTCTTCAAAATGCTTAATTTTTCAGGGACCCAGATTATGGCCGTGCGTGGGAAGGCCACTTTGGCTCAGGTGCACTTCGCTTGGAGCCGGTCGCAAAAAAAAAATGGGCGTGTCTTGAAATAGGGGGGCCCTGCAAAATGGCTGGTTTCTTTTTGGCTTCCCTTGAAATCACCGAAAGAGTCCTTCCCAACAAAAGAGACGAAGCCAATTGGGTGAAGACCAAAAGACCAAAGCCACCGGCCATCCATGCGCTGCAAATGAAGACATATATCCACAAAGGAACATGTCCTTGGAAGCTTCCCTTCTCTGATGCACGCATGGATTCTGGGAGAAGAGGATCTTTCAAAGCCTCCCTGTCCACTTTGGACAGAGCATCGAAATGGTGGGTGAGAGCCGCTTGCGACGAGACCGCCAAAGGGAGCCTTTGTTGTGGACCGGGCCAATTGGGGGGGTGGGCCTTGGGGTCCCTTGGGATTGGCTCCCAGGCGTTGGCCCACTTCGAGATCTTTAAGCCCCGCGGCGTGCCGGGCGCCCGGTCCGGCGGGCATCGACCGGGGTTTGGATGGTTTGCATACGGCTTGCCCCCGGCGCGTTATTTGGCGTGGCTCAAAAGGAGATTTCTCTGAGGCATTTTCTGGGTTCCAGGTTTTGCAGGATTCTGTGGGGGTGTGGTGGGAATTCAGCATTCACGCCCTGGTTAGCGTCTTATCCTAAAAGGCTCCGGATCATTTTGGGGGGCGGCGCGACTCATCCGCCAGGTTTGGCCTGGGAGAAACAGAAGGTACTTTCGGGAGCTGAACATGGGAACTAGTTGGGTTACTGTCCCCCCTCTTTGAAAGAACAGCTCAACGCAAAGAGTCCGTTTGCGCAAAGGAAGGTGCCTCAATCTTAGGTTAGCATGACCTGTTGAATTAAATTGGTTGCCCTCTCATGCTGCAGTGTGTGGGATTGCCTTGGGGTGATGCCAAGTGGGATTACTGTAACAAGCTTCTCAGTTACCATCTTCTAGAATCTGACCACACGAAACTCACAAACTTAGATACAACTACGTAGTTGGCACAAGTGGCGCACAATTGATGCCACGAAGGAGGAAGCACTTGGTTTTTTTGTTTTCCCTTCCCATATTACATAAGGCCCCCTCAAGAATAAAACTATTTGCCTCGGGAGTCAGGTGGCAAGATGGCGACAGTTCGGGCGGTTTGGCAGGGCGTGTTCGCTCGTGTGCTTCTTGGAAGCCTTTGCCCAATGAACCTTCGCAGTCGCTAGCTTTCAAGAGGTTAAAGATGACGCTGCCCAAGCAATGCGAACCGACACCCAAAATCAAGCTCGACCATACACTCAGAGCCCATCTCAGTAGCAAGCTTGAGTGATGCTAAACCAGATGGAGTCTCAAACTAAGCAGCACTGCTGTATGTCAACTGGAGCTTCAGATCCGATTTCAGACCCATCCAGCGAGATCAACACAATTGTGAAGCCAAACCCCAAGAGCGGCGCGTCAGAGCGGGCGGATGCTGGGGGAACATCTTGCTAGGCTCCGGCAAGCAGATCCATTTCCCTATCGGTTTGGCGGGTTCTGAGCCGTCCGGTTCCTTAGGTTTTGAAGCTCCGTCCGGTTCCTTAGGTTTTGAAGCTTTCAGGGTGTGGCTTGGGTTTAGTGGGGGTTTCCATTTGACCCGCTAAAAGTTCGGCTTTTAGGATGGGATATAACAGGTTTGCAGAGGAAGCGCATGGCGAAGCGAAGCAAGCGGCTCGGAAGATGAGCTGGGCTGCCCTTCCCCGGCCGTGGCCGCAAGTGCCACTTTTGACAGGCCGCGCATTAGGCCCAAGCGGTTGGGTCTAATGCACCCTGATGTCAATCAAAGAACACGCAGGTGGGTCCGCCTTTTTCTCAACGTACCCTCTTTGGGGTGGCTTTAAATGGAAACCAAAAGCTAGGTCCCCCAGTAGTTCCCTTTTACCGCTTCCTTTTTGGGGGGAGGGTTCCCCTACTAAAGTAGACCCAGGAAAAGAAGGGCACCCTTATTCTAACCTCTCTACTGAGGACCTAGAAAGGAATCCCTCCATTGTGGAGGGGTTCCCTCAAACCAGACACACCTTGCCGTCTTGCCGTACGCACAAGGTCCTGCGTGTTTTACAGCCTGGCCCTTCTGGACTTCCGCGAGGCGATGGAATCATTCGCCGGAACTCGACGGTTTTGCCTTTTTTGTTTTTAATGGGCGGGCCTTTTTCAGGTAGACGCTTGGCTTGGATTTTTGGGATTTGGATTTGAAGCCAAGTAACACTTGGTGGCTTGGAGGTGTGGTTTGGACTTGAACCCTTGCTTGGCGGTTTAGATTTGTGGTTTGGATTTGGACAAGAGGACCCTTGCTTGGCTCTTTTGGGCGGATAGGTCCGGATGGCACATGAAGCTATTTTGATTGCACTGGCCAGGGAGTGTGATCTCTTTCCGTGGGGCGCCATTCTTGAAGCAGTCCAGCACCCAAACAGCGTCGACGGCTCCGGCGAACTGAATACAGAAATATATATATATACATATATATACATATATATATATATATGTCAGACTCAGCGTTCCGAGGAATACGCAACCCGGAGAACGCTTTCCGTCCAAAGGATGGCTCTACCTTTTGTCGCTGTCGCCTTGCCGTTTTGTGAGTCCAGTCGCCGGGGAAACGGTTAGCCAATCTTACCGCCCCATTTGAAAGGCTGCGGCAGGCAAGCATTCTGACCTTCTGGATTGGGCGTTTCCAACCCAGAGTATGTCCTTAAGTCCTTGGACGGGTTCTCAGCCCACATTGTTCCAGGCCTCCTGGGCAAGAGTTAAACCAAGCGATCGTTTTGGTTGCCCGCTTATTATGGAGCCTCAATTTTCCAAAGGGGACCCCTTGATGGGTTCCATGTTAGTGGATCAGAGGGCACATGGAAAGCCACGGGTTGCTGAAAACCAGAACACTGCCAGGAGCGTTTCTTCCTGGGGGCCTGTGACAAGATCCAGGGTCAGCTGAACCACTTCAACGCCCAGGCCGGTTCGCCAGTTCGCCGGTTGGCTGGTTGCCGCGGCTTCTTGCATCTAGGTGGTGAGTTCCCAGAGCCTCGCTCGCAGTGTCATCAGATCATCAGCGCGGCTCCAGAAACTGGAGCCAGGGATTTTGAGAAGACCTGTGGGCATGGCGCAGTTGGAGCCCAGGGGGTGCCCCAGTGACCTATGGGATTCGACAGGTGGAAAGCGCATTGCATGAGTTGCATCTGAGGCTTTGACAGGAGACCCCTACTTTGCAGCAATAAATGTAAACATCGAGTTTCGCCTTTGCGTGATGCTTCCGAGGAAATACAGCACTTTGTGAACACGTCATGCACCCCTTTGCCCAGCAGATCTTTTGTCAGCAACTTGCGCAGGACATCTCCAACATTGTGCCCGGCGGCTTGGGACACTGCTTTCCGGGATGCTGTGGAACCTCCGAAGCGATGCCAGATAATTGCACGACAGGTGGTGTTCGCTTGAAGGCAATTGGCACATGCCACCTTTCAACTAACAAGTTAACTATTTGCAAGACTAAGCCTCGTCCAAATGAGTCTCCTGAACTTCCCGTCACGAAGCCGAAGAGTTAGCTCCAAGTCACGAGAAGTTCGGGGCTTGTGCGCTCGAGCTGGCCATGTTTGCCATAAGCATCAGCTGGTTTTCAGATTCGGTTGGTGGCGTGGAAAGCTTGAATTGTCTCAAGCTAAACTGAATCATTCGAGGAATGACAAACATATTTCAAGACGCGAGAAAGGGCATAGATTCAGCTGTGTTGTTGAAGCCTCTCCAACGCAGCCTAGCATTGGGCGGGCAGTGGCTGTTTTGTTTTGCTTGGTTGGTTGGTGGAAACCTTGTGGATGTACAGTGCGAATGCATTGACCAACGAGTTGCTCGCAGCGGAGGCAAATCCGCCTGCGCACCTCCAACACGAATCTTTAAGGAGCTTAAAGTTATACATTCCTTGGGCCTTGTGGATTTCCCAGATTCCTCTGAGGGTCAACTTTGTTCAGGCAAAATTGGTGAGGACGTGTTTGATGTAAGAGCCCTCCTGGTCGCTTCCTTTGTTTCTTGAGGCATGCAAAAAGGCGTTCAGCCCACTTGAAGCGACAAATCCCTTGCACTCTTTGAAGAAGTTTTCTTCCAGCTTGGGAGGGTAAAGTGACGACAATCTGGTTCCCCAGCAACCCTGATATAGCTCGTCAGATGCTCTTCCTTTCCGTCTTTGCTGGTTTCGCTTGTTTACCTGGCATAACCACTGACCACCCTCTGACGAACAAGGAACCGATACCGCCACCATATGTGTATATTCTGAACCGAGTCTGTTTGGGTTCCTCTGGAAAGCGTGAGGAGCTCTGGTGGTTTGGGAGAGGCCATTCCCTGATGGGAAGAACCCCGATAGAAAGGAGGCAACCCTCTTGCACAGGGCCGCAAAGAAGCCTATTTGATTGCACCACAGGCGATTCTCAGTGAGCAGACAAATTGGAGGGGCTGTTGGTTTCGGGAGGAGAAGGGGGACAACCCGAAGTCCTCAAGAACTAGGGAACCCACGGGCAATGGGGTTCCCGGATTAACGAAGCCGTGGCAGGGAGTTTGATCAGGGTGTCCCCTTCTATGGTGCATCACTTTTGGAGTGGAACACCCCAAAATCGTGACTCCCCAGCAAATTAAAGCGGCAAACAACACTTGTGTGTCTTCAACAGCAGATTCCTTGAAGACGGATGGCTTCTTGAAGCCCATAAACCCTAAACCTCCCAGCCCAAGCACTGAACCACCCTAAGCCCAAGCATTTTCCAGCTGAATCCATGGCTCCATAGCTAGACTGCCATTGGGTTGGATCTTTGGACTTCAACTTTTTGGTTGAAATAAAGGTGTTTTCCCCCAAACCCTCCAAAAGTTAAGAACTTTGTGCAGGGGGGTCGTTCCAGCAACCAAGATAGCCGTCAGCTCGCACGCTTTCCGAGGTACGGCCTGGGGCTCCTGGAGCTGCCGCATGCGGGGCTTCTGGAGGCCCTGGAGCTGGAGCTGCCAGGCCCGGAGCGAGCTCGCGGAGCGCTCGGAGCTGGGAGTCGTTGGATTCGACGTCCGCGGTTGGTTGCTTTCTGGCTGGCTGGCTGGCTTGGTTGCTTGCTTGCTTGCTTGCTTGTGCATTGTTTGCCGTTTTGTTGCTGCTTGATGTTTGTTTTCGACGTGTTGCTTCGTTTGAGTTCCTTCCTTTTTTGGCTCGGACCCTTTGTCAGATTTTAGTTTTGCGTGAGTGGAAGCGCAGTGGACCAAGCTTTGGGAAGAGCTTCTCGGGTGGAATGAGCTGAGGTTAAAACTTTTCCCACATGCTCCCCCCCCCCCCCGCCCCCCCGCACCACACTTCCGAACATGGTCTATGTTACTTTTTCGCAAGGGGCTATGTTTGGGGGTTGGGGGGTCCCCTTCAAGGCGGGTGTGAGGTTTGCAAACCCGTCGCCTCTTTGCCAGGAGGTTGGGTCCGTTGTCTGACCTCACGCAAGCCCAGCCGAAGAACCCAAAGAGTTCGCCAAGTCAACGAACTCAGCACGCTGAAGGTTCCACCCTCAAAACGCGACATTTCTTTGATGGTCGCTTTGAACAGGGAAGCCAAAAGCAAATCAACCAGATGCGGTCCCCCTCCTTGAGAACCAACGTGGCCTTTCTCATGCATCAGTGGGGTCAATGAGAATGGGGAACCCTTACCTGGGCTGTGTCCAGCTTTCCCGCGCTTCATCGCTTCAGACGTTGCACTTGACCCTTGCTTACACCCCTGCAGCGAAGTCAAACCCCGACCATGCTTAGGATCGGAATTCTTTCAGAAAAGGGCAAAAACCGTCTTTTTGGGTTCCTTGTTGTTGGGTTCATTGAGATCTGAGTTCAACAAAGGTTTAAAAAAGAAGGCGTCAGGCAGGCAGAGATCTACAGAAAGCTGGCATGTTGGTAGGCCGGCTGTCGGAGTTCACGGCGCAAGGCGCGGAGATTCAAAGCTAGGACCTCGCAAGGAAGACTTTTGCCGCCCCATTTTGCTGGCCCCTTTCGGAACATTTTGAGGGGTTCTCAAAATTTCTTTTGGGGGTAGTGTCCTTTGAAACCAACATGTAGAAGGGCACTAGGATGTCACTTTAGTGGAGCCTGTTTGGAACTCAAGTGGAGGCATCCGGAGAGGTGCGTTTTGCTCAACAAAATGAAGCATTCCAGATCGATGTCAGACTGTCAGATGTCAGGATTCTCATCTCAATTCGGGGGTGCCTTTTAAACATGTGGTTTGTCAAGTTGATTGCCAATTGCGGAAGGAAACACCTTGAACTGGTCCTCTTTTTTGTTTCGGGACCTTGTCGAGTCGGCATTTGAGAACAGACGGATGTTGGGAATGTGTCCATTGGCGATGTCACGTCGGATTCCCCAGCGGGGTTCCCAAAGCCCCTCATTCCCAGCTGAGCTTTGGCCTTTTTTCCTGTTTCCACAGACAGTTTCCAGTCGCCGCAGGAAGTCAAGGTTATTTGTTGCAGCACAGAAATGGCTGTGGGCCAAAGCCAATGGTACCATTTTGGGGTAGGTGCACCACCCATTTTAGTCTATTGTAGTACGGGATTGGGATGTTCACTGGGGGGACGGGTTCTTGACCCATGGCCAAATCTGCGGAGCGCGTTGGTCCCGGCTTGGCAAGGCTGGCGAGCTCCATAAGCGTCCAAGAAAGCAAGCAACGGGGTAAAGAGCTGCAAGGTTCCAAGCTGGGGATCTGAAAGCACCAGTGGGTTTTCACGCATTTTGGGCAAGTCGGTTTGATGAGATGCTGGCAGAACCCGCGTTCGAACCGACGTGTGGGTGTAGAGATTCAAGAGCTCTTGACCGTGCAAGTTGAAGCTGGGTGCGGAAAACATGCTGAACAGACACGTGTGCTGTCCCCAGTTTCTCGGCTTTGAATTTTGCAAGGAGGTTGTGTTAAGCAAAGACGAAGAGCTCGGATTGTGCACGAGGAGTGAGAGAACTAACGCCATGCCTGCCTTGGGATTGAAGCTCCGTTGCTCGGCAGGTCTGGGAAACGTGGCGGGGCCGGCACGTTTGGCGGCATCGTGCAGCATATTGTTTCAGTTCCGTGAGGAGGCGGCGTACGGGAGTGTTTTTTTGAGAGTGTTGTTTTGTCGAATTGCGACAGGATGGATTGCTTTTAGATGCCCGCAACAGCCTCCGCTTTCTTTGCGCAGCCCCCTGCTGGGTTGTCCCCACAAGACCCTTAAAGGGCCTCGTCCCTATATGATTGGGATATGCCCTCTGTTAATAGAACATATATATATATATATATATATATTTGTGCAGAGCCAGGGAGAACTCTGAATATATATATATATATACGTTATATGTATATACGACCCCCGCGAAGAGCTTCAGCCGGGTGCTTTGATCGCGTCTTGCGTCTTTCTGCACCTTCCGCCAGGTTTATGGCTGCGGGCTCTTGGATTACAGGCGGGCTCTGTCTTTCTGCGCGTGAGTAGGTACCCTCGATACACATAATTAGTGTTTTTCCCCATCCTCCACTAGCGCGGAATTTGACCGGGGGTGCCTCCAAAAGGAATCGAATTGTCAGGTACCTCGCGCAGTTGCTATGTTGTGGGAGGGGGGGTGTATGTATATATATATATATAGATACACATTGAAAAGATGAAAGCAGGTATGTATATACTGTATACATGGAATACAAAACCATTTAGGGCACCCTAGTTAAGGGGTGCCTGGGTAAAGTTTGTTCAACGGACCCCGAACCCCCACTTGCTTATTTTTGCACCTCTTAACCTGTTAGCCCTGCTATGGGTTCAAGGAGGGGTTGGGGGCAACAAAAGGGAATTAACGAGATATTTTATATTTTTATTTTTAAGAGTAGACTAAACAGCACAATGGCTTTACATTGGACAATCCCCACATTGACAATCCCCACCTAATAATTGCGTGACCCAGCTAGACTGCAACCACAAGTATTAGCATTTGCTCCGACTGCGTTGCATTGCTCCGACTGCGTGTGGGGGGATCAGGCTGCTTGCTGGTGCGGTCACGAAGAAACTCTTTCCAACCACAGTGGCAGCAAAGTAGCGCTGACCCCCAGTCAATAGCAGCCAGAGCTGTTACCTTTGTCGGGGTTCCCTTCATCCAGGGCACTCAGATTCTTCGAGGGACTGTCACGGCTGTCCTGGCCCAGCCGCTCTGACAGCTGTCCTATCCGGCCGCCGGCCACCAAGCTTCAAAAGTAGTGCCTGTCACGGCTGTCTGTCACACGGTCGAGAGCGTCATGGGCTGTCGAAGTAGCGTCGCTTGGCCAAAGGGGGGGCGGCCGGGCTAGATATCAACCAACATTGAAATCTACAACAACCTCAAGTCCTCAAAGTGTGGGAAAAAAGAGATGCAAAGTCTTCCCGCCACGCTCACTCGCCACGCTCACTGACAGGTGTCCAACGCTTCTTCACGCCATCGTCGGTCATTTGCCCTCGCGCCTCGAGCTGACGGACCCGGGAGTGCGCTGGGCTAGGGGGCTGTGTGATACACCAAACGGGTTTTGCACAGCAGGTGGTTCTTCGATTTTTCCCCTTGACGGGGCTATGTTTTGGGGCCTGGTTTGTGCGAACCACGAAGAGGCCCGAGCTTCGCCCCTTTGGGGACAAGCCCAGGGAGCAAAGGCATTTTGCAGGGTCTGAATAAAATAAAGGACTTGAGGTTCCTTGGAATGACCCTGGAAGTGCTCCTTTTGTGGGAGGGAAGGTGATGCCAAGCTACAAAATCACAAGGCTAAGTCATTTTGGGTCCGGACTCCTGCAGCCATCAACCAGCAACAAGCCAGTTGCTCCTAAACTTCCAGAAGAGACGCAGCTGGAGAGGTTGTTGAAATGCAAGAAGCGCAACGTGACGCCTTTGAGGATTCTCACGCTGCTCCCATGCATTTTGGCCAAGGTCGAGGCTCAAGGATTCTAGAGGTGGTACTCTTGCCTGGCGTTCAGCCAGCAAGATAACCTTTTGGCGCCAGAAGCAGACAAACAAAGGAGCAACTGGGATGGTTTGAAGGACCGATTGACCGTTGGTTGAAGCAGGATCCCTAAGGAATGCCGCCTATACAGCAACACGTGCGAATGGGCTGACGCAGTCCGAGAAGAGCACATATTAATGAATCATGGGCTTGCGCCCAAAAAAACGAGCGTCTGTGTGGCTCGCATGAAAGTCTATGGCCTCCTGCAACCCAGGCGGAGCTGGTGGTGCTACAAAAGCTGGATGCTGGTAGCGTGAGACAGATTGCAAAATCTCGTTTGGTTCCTCCTCTTGTCTTTCCTCAACAAAAGGCTAGCGCGACTTGAAATAAGGGGTTGGTTTCATGTTGATGTCGGAGACTTTGTCACTGCTCGCCCGTCGTCTTGGCAAGCCTCACTCTCTGTCTCTTCCTCTCACTCTTTCGCTTGGCTTGCAGTCCAGGAGCAGAACATCTCTAACGTTGTGGCTTGCTCAGGGACGGGAGGTGCAGCACGCTGGCCGGAACTGGGGCAATGTCGCACTGCCCAGTTAAAGAGGTCAAACATACTCTAACCTTCATCACTTGGTGGGTCTTGCTCCTGGGCACCCCTGGAGCATGTGTTCCGAGTTTACTTGGCACCCTTCTGAAGCGACCAGCCCCGGGGCACCCGTTTTTCGGTTCAACCTTGGGATCGATTGCAGCGGGTGTTTTTCTTGTTGGGCTGCCCTTGTCGGATTTTAAGGAAAACTCAAATGGCCGTAAAACATGGGATTTGCGACAAGCCCCAGCCAATGGAGCCTTGGTGCTTGCACAAGTTGCTTTACTGTGCTTGGTATGTCAGTTAGTGCTCGCTTTTTTGGTTCTGTTCTCTTTAGGGGGCTGCAAAGACCAAAGTGTTGTGCTGGTATTCCAAGGCTTGGGGAGGTTGTTTGCCACCTTCGTGCCGGGTGACTGGAATGGGCTGTTACGGGGGGTTGGAAGCGGGCGCATGCGCTTTTCTGCGGATGTTGTCAGTCTGGCCTTGTGGTTATGGCTCTTGCCTCTAGAAAGTATTTTCATCGAGCAAGAGGCTACGCAGCCGCAATCAACACAGGGTAAGTGAAGGTCAACAGCCTATACGCAGTAAGCATTCCATCACGGCCAAGTTTGGTTCCAAAATTGGCTGCAAGCAGACTCCGTGGACAGCTTTCAGAACCGATAGGGAGCCCTAAACCAGTTGATTCAGCAATCAGTGTGTTTTGCTGAGCGAGTCGCTTTGCTTTACAGGTGACATACGGTGAGGCTTTACTGTAAAGTCAGGTGAGACATTGGAGCCTTGGGGCCCTTCCAGAACCTTTGGCTGCAAAACAGCCTCCAAAATGATGGACATCCCCAAGTACAACTCACTTCCCGAGCTCCTGGACTTGAACTTTTTTGGTTTGGACCATGTGAGTGGCAAAAGTTCAAGCACTTTTTCTGGGAGGTGAATGAAACCCCATGCAAGCGACCCGCGCATCCCAGGTGTGGGCCTTGGGACGCCTGAACGTGGTGGATGCAGAGCCTTTGGCCCAGAGCGTTGCCCAATGCCGAATCCAAGCGATCCTTCCGTTTTTCTGTGGCCGTGGGTCAACAATGGTTCCGTTTTAGGTGGTGGGTGAATTCACCACCCAGTTTAGAACCTATTTTAGTGGGGATTGGGATGTTCACTGGGGGTACACGGTTTTGACCCATAGCCATGTGTATCTCTATCTTTAGTCAAGGTCCGAAGAAGGGCTTTCTAATTAAGAATCATGCTCAGGTCTTTCCGTGCAACTGTACTATGCGAATCATGTGGGCATACCTTTTTCAGTCTATGTTTGGTCGAGGTCCGGAAATGATCTTCCTAATTATGATGCTTCGGTCAACCTTCATTCCAACACAGGGTCCAATTCAGCGACCCCGGTCTCTTACCCATTTAAAGATTGAGAATAGGGCGAGGAAATTACTTCCCCGAAGGCAGCACTGCATCTGATGGATGGTCTGTCACACTTGCCATGATGAAAAAACCTGCGTGCTTCGTTTAGGACTGTCACACACCGGTGGATTGGACAGATGTTTTCCTCACATGACTGTGGCCCCCAGAAACCGTGTTTCATCATTGCAGTACGGCGCAATTCCTCTCATGACCTGTTGGCTTCTTGAACAATTCTTGAACAAGGCATTGACGAGTCTTGCTAAAGTACTGCCAGTGCCCTTGCCAGCGGTTAAGTGGGATTTTGGGGAGGCAGTCTGCTGTCTGACATTTTCAGCTTTCACAAGCGTTTGCAGTGCCCCTGTTCGTGGACAGAAGATGCCTTTTTGCTTCTGCCAGCATATCCGTCACGAGTCATCCTGCAGGTTTTGGTTCAAAGGGCATGCGCCCAACAGCTCCTAAATCTGCGGGTCCAGAACCAGAAGAAGCGCAAGAGCAGCAAACGCCGATTCGTCGCCGATTCGTCGCCACGTTGGAATGTGCCATGACGCCGGTGCCTGGAGCGGCGACGCTTTCGCAGGTGAAAGCGTCACAGCTGCAACCCTCCCCAGTCCAGTGTGCCCATTTGATGCCTTCTTTCAGGGGGGGGGATGAGTTTCCCTTTGACAAAACAGGGGATTCATTTGGTTCCTTTGTTTTTGTTGGAGGGCAGGGGCGACTTTGCATTCAACAAAAAAGGTCGTGCTGTTTACCCATCGCCAGCCGCCCAATAAGTGGTGGCAAGGGCAGCTTGAACCGGAACAAAGTTCAGAACGTCGAGCGGTTTCAAGAAGGATAGCAGCCGTATGTCCGCTTCTCATTTCCCAGGTGTGCGAGTTGTCCCGCAGCAAGCAGAGAGCATGCCTCTACTCGAACCCTTTGGGGAAGGCGTGCTACGAGCTCGACAAGGACACAGTGCCAAGCCAACAGCTTCCGATGGGATCGGGCAACTTTGGAGTGAAATCCCAAACAGGACTCGAGCAAACGCCGGTGAGCTGCGAAGACCTCGATTGGGCGATCTGCAGGGCTCGAACCGCTTCTCATTTTGCCTTTCGAGGGCCCACCGCCAGGATGCTGCGGCGCAGTGCCTCGAGGACGGGCGGCATTTTGAGCTTTTTTGTTGGTGACGAGCTCAGGGCTTCCAACAAGCTGGGGCGTGGAAGCCAGCTGTGCAAGTGCAGCTGAAAACGTACAATGGGATAAACTACCTACAAGCTGGTGCAGGATGAGGATGTCCCTCCACATTATGAAGTAAGCCGTGTCTGCATCTTGCCCACCTATAATTAGCCCAAGGTAACTAAGTACGGTGGACATCCAAGAATTCTGATAGCTTGTTTGAGGTCCCCACCGTCGCGAAACAACCCAAACTACCATGTATGATTCAACTACATTGTGCGAAGCCTTCGCGTGCAGTCGAAACCTATCCGAGTGGCTGCAGTTTAGGGGGCAATCTTCAGCACATGCTTATTTTCCTCCGCCAGGTCTGCAATGGCGTCCTCTCAGACGCGGCATTTTTTGATGGTCCTCTTCATCCAGTCAAAGAAGAATGAACTTTACCAGTTGATTTAGGAACGGGTTCCTTCTAAATCTCTTGGCGGCTTCTGGGTGTGCAGGAATTTCGCCGAGCAGCTACAAGCATTTCCTGTATCAGATTGCACTTAATCGGTTTGGATTGGTGGTTTGCTATTCTGGGTTTTCGGGGCATTCTCTGCAAAAAAAAGGAATTCTACAGTGTAGACGATTCTGCGTTGTGATGGCTTCAGGTCAATCTGCTCCTCTCTCAGGGCTCGCGGAGCAAACAAAAACCCACGCGGCAAAGGGAGGGTGTTTGACCTGGCCAATGGAATGAACTGGTCTTTGGTGTGACGACCGACTTGCCCACTGAGACCTCTTGGACAAACCTGGCGTTTCCATCAAACCTAATAGAAGAAAAACTGACCTTTTGCTCAGGGATGAAGAGCAACCAAGCTTGGTCAAAGTTTAGTGATGGTTTTAGACTAGTGAACATGCATATCTACTGGGTATGATTTGGTTCTGCCCTGTTTTGTTTTACATTCTTGACGGAACCTTGTTGATATTAATATTGGTCCACCCTGTAAATACCAACAAACGTTTTGATTTCAACCATGGCTTCTGAGGTGGCGCGAAATGGATATCGGCGATTTGTTGCTTTCAGGAGCTCCAGAAGTTTCAGCTGCTGGAGGCTGGCCTCGTCTATGCCTCGGAGGTGCGGCCGGACGCTGAACGGCGCCCTCTCTTGGCCAAGGAGCCACTCGGTGCGGCTCCAGCGTATGGTTTGGTCTTGCTGGGGCGAGAGATGCAGGAATGAGAAATGGAATGACCCCTTATAAACCATCCAACTGGTGGTTTCCTTTAAGGGGAATGGTGGGTGCATTCCCTTGGTCCTTACTGAGCACCAGGAAGTTGTCGAGGAGAACCTTTTGTGGGGCCTGCTGAAACAAAAATGTCATGCAAAGTGCTGGGGTCTCCAATCCTCAAATCTATTTCATATCTTGGCGTAGGCTAAATCTGATAGATGTGGGCCAAGATTGGTCACCCCAAACGTCTCGATCCTCAAATCTATTTCATATCTTGGCGTAGGCTAAATCTGATAGATGTGGGCCAAGATTGGTCACCCCAAACGTCTCGATCCTCAATCTATTTCATATCTTGGCGTAGGCTAAATCTGATAGATGTGGGCCAAGATTGGTCACCCCAAACGTCTCGATCCTCAAATCTATTTCATATCTTGGCGTAGGCTAAATCTGATAGATGTGGGCCAAGATTGGTCACCCCAAACGTCTCGATCCTCAAATCTATTTCATATTGGCGTAGGCTAAATCTGATAGATGTGGGCCAAGATTGGTCACCCCAAACGTCTCGATCCTCAAATCTATTTCATATCTTGGCGTAGGCTAAATCTGATAGATGTGGGCCAAGATTGGTCACCCCAAACGTCTCGATCCTCAAATCTATTTCATATCTTGGCGTAGGCTAAATCTGATAGATGTGGGCCAAGATTGGTCACCCCAAACGTCTCGATCCTCAAATCTATTTCATATCTTGGCGTAGGCTAAATCTGATAGATGTGGGCCAAGATTGGTCACCCCAAACGTCTCGATCCTCAAATCTATTTCTTATCTTGGCGTAGGCTAACTGATATATGTGGGCCAGTCTCGATCCTCAAATCTGGCGTGGCTAAATCTGAGATGTGGGCCAAGATTGGTCACCCCAAACGTCTCGATCCTCCAAATCTATTTTCATATCTTGGCGTAGGCTAAATCTGATAGATGTGGGCCAAGATTGGTACCCCAAACGTCTCGATCCTCAATCTATTTCATATCTTGGCGTAGGCTAAATCTGATAGATGTGGGCCAAGATTGGTCACCCCAAACGTCTCGATCCTCCAATCTATTTCATATCTTGGCGTAGGCTAAATCTGATAGATGTGGGCCAAGATTGGTCACCCCAAACGTCTCGATCCTCCAATCTATTTCATATCTTGGCGTAGGCTAAATCTGATAGATGTGGGCCAAGATTGGTCACCCCAAACGTCTCGATCCTCAAATCTATTTCATATCTTGGCGTAGGCTAAATCTGATAGATGTGGGCCAAGATTGGTCACCCCAAACGTCTCGATCCTCCAATCTATTTCATATCTTGGCGTAGGCTAAATCTATAGATGTGGGCCAAGATTGGTCACCCCAAACGTCTCGATCCTCCAATCTATTTCATATCTTGGCGTAGGCTAAATCTGATAGATGTGGGCCAAGATTGGTCACCCCAAACGTCTCGATCCTCCAATCTATTTCATATCTTGGCGTAGGCTAAATCTGATAGATGTGGGCCAAGATTGGTCACCCCAACGTGATCCTCCAATCTATTTCATATCTTGGCGTAGGCTAAATCTGATAGATGTGGGCCAAGATTGGTCACCCCAAACGTCTCGATCCTCCAATCTATTTCATATCTTGGCGTAGGCTAAATCTGATAGATGTGGGCCAAGATTGGTCACCCCAAACGTCTCGATCCTCCAATCTATTTCATATCTTGGCGCAGGCTAAATCTGATAGATGTGGGCCAAGATTGGTCAACCCACACGAGCTGATTTCCTCTCGTCTCTCGTCAAACCAAGCCCCCCTCAAAATTGGGATGAGGTTCTGGACTTTAACTGCATTTTGGGAAGACCAGCGCAGGGACAAACAAAGAGTTTGTTATTTTTGCCGTAGAGATGATGCCCAATTCCAACCCACAAACAGTCCTTGTTCCATTTTTGGGGGCGCGTGTCAAACGAAATCATCTGGCCAAACAGGAATTCCACAACGCTTTTCCACCTCGATGCTTGTTCCTGCGAGGAGTAGGGCAGTTACCGCTAGACTCTGGGTGTTGGCCATTGGGGGGAATTCGGTCCCTTTCGGATTTAGAACCGAGCCCACCAGCCTTGGACCCTTCAGGTTGCGGCTGCTACATTCTATGATGCGCCCTGTGGTAATGGCTGGGTGCTTGCTGAAGGGGCAGAGGCCCTGGTAGTCATTAGGAACTAGGACGGGACGAAGGTGGCCAAGGGGATGCTTGCTGCTATCATTGCCGATAGGTCAAATCTCGTTTGTAGCCCAAGTGCCCACGCACGAAACAAGGATAAATTGCTATGTTGCTTAGCTCAGCTATAGTTGCCGAGCTTATCAATTTGTGTCTTAACATAAGCCCAACAATTGGCGGTGTTCCGTTTGATTTGATTTCTTTGACTAACCCAAAAAGGGGCACCCGCAAAAGCAAGCAAACAAACACATGACTGATGAGGGTGGCCTTTAGCTGCCCTTTGCCCTAAGTGCCACACCCCGCTCTCCCCATGGCCATGTGGATGGACCACATCCATTTCGCGCCAGTGGGTATGTGGCTTTCCCAATATTCACAAGGTTCCATACAAGTTTTCAACTCCCTTAGCATCACCAGTGGGCTGCTGGGTTAAAGCTCGGGTTTTGGCTGGGTCCCAGATTGGCTCAGGGTTGGTTCAGGTTGGGGCTTGTTCAGGGCAGCTAGGGTTGGTTTCGGTTTTGGGTTTGCGTCGGTGGGTGCAGGCTTGGTTGATGTTGCCATCCACGGTATCACCCGGGAACGGCACACTTTGCCAAAAGGGAACCCTTGCCCCGACGTTCCGGCGTTCCCTTGCTCTGATCGGCCCCGACGTTCCGGCTCTCAGGTGGAGGATCTTCCAGATGGCGCCTCGGCCCGAGAACACGAATCGGCAGCGGCCATGCGAGAGGTGTTAGTGGGCTGACGGTCTTGTTGAATTACTGGTGCAAGAAGAAGAATGACAGTGGATTTGCTGCAAAACTACCCTCCCCCGACCCCTCGTTTCCAACTGGTGTCTTTCAAGCAAGGCCTCAAGGAGTTCTAGCGATGTCACAACCTGCAACAGTTTGCGAAGATTTGGTCCATCCACAGTGGATATTTCAGGGCCAATCAATCAATCACCCGCTTGTTTTTGGACGAATCCCTAGGTTTCCCTTGCCAACTAGTTTTTTACTTGCCCAAAGCGGATCGACCTTTTTTAGCATGTTGATTTCCCTGATTTGACAATCATTTTTCGTGGCAGCATGAAGGGATGACCTTGCATTTCTAGGTTTTCTTTCGGGCAACGGAGGGACGGAGCAGCGCGAGTCAGGAAATCGGGTGCCAGCCGCTGCACCTGGTGTGCCTCGCTTGTGGCCGGGACTTGGAGCGACTAGATGCGCAGAAGGCCAAGGCGGTTCAGGCCACCGCAGGAGAGTCCCAGTGCGTGGCGTGACGTTGATTTAGAGGGGGTCCCAGGGAATGAAACCGCGGCCTCCATTTTGAACAGCCCATTTGGGTTTGTGTTTTTGTTGGGCAAGTTTGGCTAGCCGGGCCACCCTTAGTTGGTGGTTTGAATTGGTGATTTGGAATTGGAGTTGAACCCTGGTTCCTGTAGAGGGTTAATGGGAACCCCTCCTTAACCACCAAACAACCAATCCAAACCACCAATTCGGCAGGAAGAAAGGAAAAATACCATGTTGGGTGTCCACTTTGACACATAGCACAGGAGACTTGGTGAAGAAACTGCTCGACTACGGAGCGGAGCTGAACATGCTGGACGTGGGCCCGCAGGATGCGTCTTGCACAGAGCTGAGCGTGGTGTTCCATGTCTGCTAATGTTAACTTCGGGTTCATCAACTTGACTGCTATTGGGTTGGATCTTTAGACTTTAACTTTCTGGTTGAAATCATGGGGCTTTCCTCTAAACCCCCAGAAAGTTAACAACTTTTTGCAGGGGGGTCAACAGCAACCAAGATCAAGAGGACCGTACTAGGTAAGGATATCAACCAATTTAGGGGTTCCTTTGACCAATCCGAAGCTCAGATTAGTCAGATCAACCGCGCTTGCCAACGCCTTGCGGGTCCAAGCATCTTTTGAGGACGTACTTTTTACCCCTTCAACCATCCTCGCTTGGCCGGGTCATTCTTGTTCTGAGCCTTCAGACAATTTCAGAGCACGCATGGTAAGCTTCTGGCTAGTGAAGGGCGCATGTTTGACAGCCACCGGCTGAGATTGTTTGTCTGATCTAAATACCCTCTTTGCAACAATCACGGAAGTGGAAATATACGGGGGGGGGGGGTGGAAGACTACCATCCTCTGAAAAGGAGTGTGTGATTGTGGCAAACGGGTACTTGTAGGTTTCAGCTTGGGCGAAGCGCATTTTTCGTGAAATTGGCTGCTCCGATAGATTCTTCGCTTTCCAGTTCCCGGACTTTGGAACATTGAGGCCAGTCTGATTAACATGTTCAGTTTCAGCTCCGCAGTCCTTACGGCAGGCGTTTCTGCGATGTCATACCCCTTCATCTCCCGTACCGTATGGTCCCAGTGGTTATCTGGGGATGGTCAGCCCCATACGCTCCCCACAAGCCGCCATTTCCCACATTAAACCCAATCCCACCCGAACCATCCTGAACCAACCTCAAAGCAACGACTTGGCCCACCCTGACCTTATAGAGGTCCTGGACAAATTGTCGCGACGCCACTTGCGGGGGTTGCAACAGTACCCATGGACAGATTCCTTTTAGCAGGGTTTGTGTAATCACTCGGGGTTTATCCCCACACACATGGGAATCTCCCCCTTTATATGGGCGCGTTAGTCTTTGGGCAGCACTTTTTGGTTGTATCCCCCTGATTCCCCTATGTTTAGTGTTAGTAGTTTGCCCAGATGGGTTGCCCTCTCAAGTTCGCCTGCCTAGTGGGTACAGAGAGTGGCTAAACCAGCGTGAGAGAGTTGTGCCTGCTATCACCCAACTGCACCCCTAGAGCTTCCCCTAAGTACTTAGTATTCCCAGTGATTAACCCACGACATCCGACTCCCCACGGCAAGTAACGTATCTAACTCCCAGACCATCAAAGCAGACCACCCTACCTCCAAACCCAAACCAACCCGAGACCACCCTCAAACCTACCCCTAAACCAACCCCGCATCAATTAACCTTAAACCAGCCCCCGAACCAATTCCACTAACCGCAAAGCCCACACCAAACCACATCCCAAGTCCCCACCAACCCACATCCAAGCCCCTTAAGCCCACACCAAACCCAAGCCACACGACCCCAAACCCCACCAACCCGCCAAGCCACAAAGACCCCGCAGGAGAACGGCGCCCTGCACCTGGCCGCGCGCTTCGGTGCTGCGCAGCTCCTCAGTCAGCTGCTGCGCCTCGGCGCCGACGCCACGGCGCTCAACGGCGACGGCTGCACCCCGGAGCCCTCCGAAAGCCTCGCGGAACGGGTCTCACGGAAACATGGCGACCTGGAGTCTCCATGACCCTAAGATGGGTCCACCCCGTAATTTTGGGCAACGACCCCATTTCTTGGGGGGTCATGGAGACTCCAGGTATGAAGAACTTGAAGGGGGAACCCCCTCCCAAATGGTCGGTGGACAAGCACATGTGGCTTGCTGGTGCGATAGGTAGGGAATGAGGGAATGAGAGAACGAGCCCAGGTTTGTCAACCCAAAACACAAAGGAACCCTCCCGTCACCGCTATTGGGTTGGACCTTCAGGCTTTAACCTTGTGGGAATTCTGTGGGGTTTTCCATTGAGCCCACAAAAAGTGTTTAGCTTTTTGCAGTGGGGTCAACAGCAACCAAGTGAGTTCTTGGTGCGAAAGGTAGGGAATGAGGGAATGAAGCTGGGGATCCCCTTAAAGGAAACCACAAGGGATGGTGTATACAGGTCATTCCCTCATTCCCTGCTCAGCATCAGCGAGATGCATTTTAATGGGGAACTCCCCCCAGATGGACATAAATTCCCACCTAAACGATTGTTTATCAGCGGGACCTTCATTAACATTCACGCCCAAATGGGACGGGAAGTCACTCCCCGAGTTCCTGGACTTAAGGTTACTTTTGGAATGGTTTGGCATTGTGTGGAACACTTTTGTGATAGCCTTTCACAAACAAATCCCAGTCGCCCAGTGGATTCCAGCCTTTTCCTTTTTTTGGGGGGTGAAGGGTTCCCTTTAAACTCAACCAAGCACAAACGGGTGCTCTTTTTTCCATGGGCACTGGGCATCTGAGAAATGGGACGGAAAGGGTGGGTTTCAATTTTAGTTGTTGGGTTTCCCCATTTATCCCAGTAAAAGCTAAACTTTTAGTAGGGGATCCGAGGACAGCCCAGAAAGGTATGATTCTTCAGAACCCCTCAACAAATGAGGGTTTGTTATTTTTGTTTGAGGCTCGGTACTCTTTTCGAAGTTGGTTCAAAGGGAAATCAAAAGAACAGCACCACGAAAGAGACACACCCAAATCATGGCAGCAGACCTCATTTTGGATGGTTTTAAACGGGCGCCACTAAAAACGCACCGCACCACAAGGCAACCACAGGAAGCACCCAGATTTTAACTGGTCTGCTCTTTTGAGAAACACCCAAACAGGTTCTAGCACAGGGTGTCTGGTCGCCTGCGCCAAGGGATGCCAAGGGACTGCCGTGTTCAACTGCTTAGATGGGGCGGACTGGGGGTGGATTGAGACGCTCTTGGTGGTTCCCAGCCATCCTTTCAGCTTTTAGCCTTTTAGTGTTTAGTGGGGATTTCCATTTCACCCACTAGAAGTTAAACTTTTAGCGGGGGATCTGAGGGCAGCCCAGGTCTGGGATCTCCCGTGAAGTTTGCATGAGGCTCACGAAATATGGGGCCAGAACCAGAAGCATATTCTCCGGGCGAGGGGGCAAAGAGTTGATGTGAGTTGAATATATGTCCCAGCGTTCCGTGGTTTGCAGTTGGAGCTAGGAGCATTGGCAGCGAGATGGACTGATGGTCCATGGTGGCGGCTCCATAGTTGGGGCTTGACAACGCAGTGCCTGAGAAAGATGGTGCGAGTTTGTTTGGTTGGTTGGTTGGTTGGTTGGTTGGTTGGTTGGTTGGTTGGTTGGTTTCTTGGTTTCTTGGTTGCTTGGTTGCTTGGTTGATGGGTGGATGGGCTGGATATTTGGCTCTGTGGTTTTTTGGCTGTTATTTTAGCATTTGCGTTTGTTTGTTGGGCTGCCACTCAACATGTTGAATGTTCGATGTTGCAGCTGCTGACTGTTGACACCTGCCGCCAGAGCTTGATCCAAGAGCAGGTCTTGGCTCTATGTGCGCCCGGTTTTCTTCCAGAAGCAACTTGTTGCCGCACGCCCGCCCTGCAATTCTGCCTCACACGAGCCGACTGTCCCCAAGCCCCCCACGCATGGGTATGCTAACTGAATCCACCGCAGCATCGCCCAACGGTGGTTCTACTACCCTACTGCCCGTTGAGGGTCTGGATTGTCCCTGGGGTCTGAACCTCTTGTGGGCAACTGGGGAGCCTGTCAGGAGCTGGTGGCGCGGCGGTCCGGGCAGGTCCTTTGCCAGCAGATCCTGCAGGTGCTCTGGGGTTGTGTGGCCCAGATCCGCTTGCCCCGGTGGGAAGCCAGGAAAGCCGTCGTGGAGCCTAGAGACATCCTGGTTGCGTGTAACCTACTAAGTAGCCTAGGGTAAGCATCCTGGTATGGCCTATAGCCTAGTACTGTCTCATTGATTTGGTTCCTTGTTTGGGGACAGGCTCAACGATACTACATATTGATGAATCCGGGGTAGCTACTAAGTAGCAGTACATGTGCATATGCACCTTCAAAGACATCGAGTGACATGTGAGTGATAGCATGTGCATTCACGTCAGTTCCTGCATGCAGGTACACCAAAATGTAGATCAGCATATAGATATATGCGCACGTGTGCAGGTTCGCATATGTTCATGCAAAACCATACTTGCTTATTTGTGTCCAGATGCATCCAGCGTTGTTTTCCTAGTTTGGCCATCCGACAGTCCGGTCAACACCGATGCACTGTGAAGGATTGATCGGCGAATCGGCGATGGGGAGACTGATTGGAGTCGTTTGGCTTGGGTTTATAGACGCTAGGACGCATGCATCTAGTGACGTAGCTATCTAGTTTCCCACGGTCTGCCTTGTGTTTTTTTGGTTTTTTGTTTTTTTGTTTTGTTTTTTTCGGCTGGGCACTGTAGGGTCACGCTTTTCACACCTAAGCCCTTGGGCACCGGGAGATGCAGCCAATTCGTCATGCGAGAGGTATATGCCCGGTTTTCCTGGGGGGGGGGGTAGTGGTTTGGGGGCAGTGGAAATCATAGACAGTTCATCCCGGTCACCACCAGGATATGGTTGGAGCAGCGAGACAACTTGCGTCAATTTAAGCTTTGGAGTGTTGGTGTTCCGCTTACTTTCCAAAGTGCCATACTTGTCTGGCCTTGGATGCTTGGACTCCGGTTACATGCCTGCTTTGCGTGGTTTCTTTGAAGAAAGCAGACAGCACGGAAACCATTCCCACCTGTCAGCACCCTTTCAGATAGGCTTCGGCAACCCTTTGCCACTTGGACACATGCCCGTTTTGACCTTTCTGTTTGGTGGCTCCCCACCGAAAGTTGCCGCTCTAAAAAAGTGTTCCCGTTCTCTACCAGCTCTGGGTCTCCTCCAATCTAAAAATTAGGGTATAGACTAAGTATGGAACAGAGTCGAAGCATATGATTTGCCTAGGTCCCCCAGTAGTGCCCTTTTACCATTTTTTGGGGGAGCTCTCTACTGGAGGCCCGAGTTCCTGTTTGGATCCCGGCAGGTGGTCCTGGCTGACCTCATGGACGCTGAGGTGTTGTTCCCCAGCGCGCGAGAAAGGCGGAAGCAGAGGTGGAAGGAAAGCTGCTTGGCTCTGAGTGGGGCGAGTTGCCTTTTCTCAACATGCGTCCCCCCCCCTTTCCGGAAAGAAGGGTCCCAATTGGTCGAAAAGTCTTTGGATAATGAAGTGACTGAGTTTGGGCCACCCTTGCTTGACAAGATTCAGGGAGCTGCTGGGTTATGGAGGCTGCCCCGCTTCCGCCCAGGGGCAGAAGCGATTTGAGAGCTGCCTACGGTGCTCTCGAGTTTTGAGATGCTCCCGTTAGTTACCTACACCAGACAAAGCCAACAACTATCCGCCGAAAGCTTATTCAACATAGAACATCTTACAACGGGCAGCTATTGCATACTCGTAAGACTGAAGGTTGGGCCAAGGTGTATGACAAGGGGTTCGTTATGTACCCACAAGCTGTGCAAAGCTTTTGCGGGCTCGGCCGGCATCCGTGCATTTCCGCGTGAAACCCTTTGGCCTCCTCAAAGGGAGAGCATATTGGGTGGTTGGGCTTCTCAAAGGTACTCTACCCTTTTTTGGGGGAGGGTTTTTCTACTGAAACAGACTAGGGTACCCTTGTTCCAACCTCTTTGCTGGAGGACCTAGGGGAAGTTGCCCTTAAAACCACCATTTTGGAACCTTGCGGATGTCGCCCGGCACGGATCGAGACCAAGGCCAGAAGAGCAGGAAGCGCTCCGATGTCCCAACCCAAGAAGAGGAGGGGCCTATCGAGGAGAATGAAGAGCCAAGAGCCCGACGGATCGCTGGCGCCAAGTATGGCCCCGATGACCTCTGGGGCATGCTTGACAGCAACTCGGTTGTCCAGTTGTTTTAGTTTTCTTTCCACGCGCTCCGCGGGTGTTTTTTTCTTTTATTCACATAGTTATATAGTTGTTTATGTAAGGTGATTATTTTGGAAATGGTCATGGCTGGAATTCCACAGTCCAATTTTCGTGGGTATCTTTGGCGGCCGAAAATAATATCGAGGGTTATAGATTAGTTATATGATTGGTTTAGTCCCCTTAAATAAATGAACGTAAATTCATTTTTAAGTATCCCACAACCCCAGCATTGTGTGCAAGGTGACGGCTCGGACGGCTCCAGCGAGCCACTTGTCCGCAGGTCTCGATCCATTTTGAATTGGTACCCCCTCTTTAGGTTGGCTTAAAAGGAAACCAACCGAAAAACCAAAATCCAGTTTGGGACACATAGCCAACTGGGTGGCTTGCTTTTGGCCCTTTGCAATATGCTGTCAAAACACATGAAGTGGGGATGTAGGGAGCGTCCACCCCGGTCGTGATTTCCCTCCCGTCCACCATGGAACGCGCCGGGTCCGTTTTAGAGGAAATGCTTTTCCAGAACCCCCCCCCCCACAACTGGAGACATGGCAGGTCTTTTGTGTGATCGAATCCCTCCTTAGACCTTTTGGATTCACAATAACGGTTTTCCATACGGAGCTTTTGGTCTGACCTTGAAGCCCAGATGTGGATGGAGATCCTGTTGGGATGGGTGAATCCCTATGCAGACAACCCACCCGGTGCGAAGGAATGTTGGTACATATCAATCAGCCCCAATTTGTGAATAGGGGGGGTCCCCTCCAAAAGTGAGAAATCTCCACCAAACCCCAGGGACACCCCCTCGGGTTGATTCATCCGGGCTTCAAATTACCTGGTTATATGGGTCAAAAGCCTCCCAATCCCCACCGAAGGTTCTAAAATGGGTGAATTCACCTAGCCCAAATTGGTATGGGGTCAACCTGAGCTACCTCTCCGCGAGGTCGGAGATCTCCCTGGGCGCGGGCTCCGACTTAGACGCGGAGGAGCGCATCCGGAGCTCGGTGCAGAAGCTGCGGCTCCGGAGAAGCGCCAAAGCGGAGCAGCGCCTCGGACGCAACCACAAGCCTGGGCCTGGAGTCTCCATGACCCTGGAAAAATGGGGTCCTTACACCAAAAAAATGGGGTCATTGGCCCATGTTTAAAGGGTCATGGAGACTCCAGGGGGCGGTTTCTCAGTTGTCCCAAGCCGACCTTCTGACCGTCTGACCCTTTGGTCCAAGCTTAGTCAAGGTCCCGAAAGGCCAACCTTTTAGTTCCAGGTGCTTTGCGAAAGCGGAGGTTTCAATGTTCACCAAAGTTGGCGCAGAAATGGGGTCCCAAAATGGAACCCTGGCCTGGACAAGTAGACTTAAAACCTGGGGTCCGGAACTATGAAGTTGTGAGCCACACCCAAATGTTGCACAGGAGCTTCTGCAGAATGACTAACCTTGCCCAAACTGTTTGGGCCGAAAGAAGCCTTGCCAACTTTCCAGGCTCACTGGGCGGCTGGGCATTTTGCGCGTTTGCCCTGCCATTTCATCATGTCTTCAGTTTGTTTGTTTTTTTGTTTAATGCCTGTTTGTTTATGGATATAACTGTTGTCATACAGTATTGTTTTCTGTGTTTTGTGTTTCCTGTCATCTTGCTTTGTTCTTTGTCGTCTTTTATTGCAGTCCTTACTTCCTTACTTTGTTTATAGCTCCCTTCCATAATTCTGTCCTTCCTCTCCATTTCTTCAGCTCTGGATTTATGTTTTTGATCATGTCCGGATTTGCTTCTTGGTGTCTTTGTTACATTGTCTGTGTGGCCCCTTAAGTCTGGAAGTATGTCTTAGATAATGCGTTTGTGTATTTTGTAGGGGTCTGTGCGTGAGTGTCGTTATTTGGTTGCGGGTACCATTTGGTGTCAGGTGTCTTTTGCTGTTTGCACATTTGGTTGTTTGCTTGTTTGCTTGTGTTCGCTTGCTTGCCTGTTGTGGTTGTGTGTTTCCTCGTGTTCTAGTTTGTTAGATTGTTTGTTTGCTTATTTGTTTGTTTGTTTGTTTGTTTGTGCTTCTTTCTGATTGTTTCTTTGTTGCTGTGTTTTGTTTGTTTATTGAGTTCCGATGTTGCTTGATTGTTTGTTGCTTGTTTGCGTGCTGATGTCTGGCCATGTTGTTTGTTTGCTAGCTTGCTGGCTTGCTAGCTTGCTAGCTTGCTTCTTTGCTTCCTTGCTTCATTGTTTCCTTGCTTCATTGTTTCCTTGCTGCAGTCTTTTGGTTGTTTAGGTATGTGCTCGTTTGATGTTTTTTCTTTGTTTGCTGTTTGCATGCATGGACGCGCGCGTGCGTGCTTGCGTGCGCGTGCGTGGTGTGTTGTGTTTGGTCAGGGCTCCGAAAGGTGCACAGCTTCGGTTCGATCGTTTCGGCAGAGGCTGCAAAGCCTCCCGCAGCAGGTCGCGGAGGCCGTAGAGGAGCGAATGGGCTAGACTCGAAGCCCAAAAGACGCTTTTTTGGTCGTTTGCTTGACTTACTTCCCGAGCTCTTGGACTATTTCTACGTTTTGGGAAGACCATTTTAGTTAACAACAACTTGGCCTGTGCTTGGCCAATTTACTCAGGAAGTGAGTTGAGTGTTGGCATTCGGGCAAATTTAGCCAGACTCTATACCTCTGCAAATTTGGCAATGGAAAACAAAGAATGAAAGGTTCCACCAGAAACCAGGTCGCGTTGTTTCCCGGGTTCCGGGGGTTGCAACCCACAGGGCACGCAAAAAGTCCAACCAGTGACCGTTCCATGGGAGGTGCGACCATGATGAAGTTTCCACATGCTTCAACTTTTGCTTCTATAGAACCGGGGAAAAACACAGGAGGGAAAGACAAAGGATAGGAAAAGACGTCAATCTGCCGAATTTCATAGACCCCCCCCCTCGCATAATTTTGTGGGCGTCGTTTAAATATGGCATTCACCTCTTGTAGCTTTCCACTAGTCCATTGGTCGTTCGCACTAACCCCTGGTGGCTTCGCAGAAGTTCGCGGCACCTTCCCTCGCTCCCGTGAAGTTCGTAGCGCCGCTTTTACCCGTCTGCGTCCCCCTATAAGATGAGACAGTGTCCTCCAGTGGTCTTTTCTGAAAATCGCAGTTTCTCCAATCGGGTCAACCTACCTTTGGCTTTTTCAACCTTTCTTTGCCAAGGCTTGGCCCTGGATCGCTTTGGAAGCTCAACCAGTAACCCTGGAACACATATTCCCACGATGCCAGGCAAAATAGCGAGAGCGCCGCAACTTCTTGGGCAGCTATGATTTCGCTTGGGAGCTACCCCAAATTGGGGTCCCAAAAGCAATGTATTTCTGGGCATGGCCAAAGGCTGATGGCCATGGACACGTATGTGAACTCATGAGCACTTTTGGGCCCTCCGGCCATACTCATACGGTCAATTGCCCTATCCAGGGCGGTCATAAACTCCAACAAGCTCAGCTGCAGGAACATCCCCAAATTCGCCAACCAGTCTGCATGGCTTTGGGTGTGTTCTGGCGGTTCCTGGAGCTTGTTTCTCAGACTGTGGATGGACCAAATCCACTTCGCACCAGCTGGTATGTGGTTTGTCCATTTGGTATTAGGGGTTCATCCATCCAGGCTGGTGCCGATCGATTCGCGTGGATTTTGGTCCATCCGCGTGGCCCGCAGGAGGTGCGTCGTCTAGAGAAGAGCTCCACAGCCCTGAAACTTCGCCTGGAAGGGCGGGAACCCGAAGATATCCCCCGTTTTGTTTGCCAATCTGGGTATGTCGTTTTTTTGAGGGACACCCCAACTTTGGTTCCCTTTAAGGCGGCGCAAAGGGCACAAGACAGACCCATGCGAGGTTCTCCAATTCAGATTGGCTAGTGGTATTACGGAGCTCGGGCATCCAACATGTTAAAGAAGGGGCGCTGCAGAGCTATCAGGAGTTTTGTCCGGACATGGTACTGGTAGATTAAGCTGGGACCTCAAACACCAGGACATTTTGAGCAGTGCTCACCCCCTTTTGGGTTTCATGTTGACCGGCGTGTGACCAATGTGAGTCAGGGAATCACCGAGGGAAAAGAGGCATGTGATTCAACTCAGCTAGTGAGGTTTAGCCTGGAATATTAAGCTGAGGTCATGACCCATGAATGCCAAGTTTACATATATATATATATATTATTGGGGGAAGTTCCTGCGTCCAGCCTGGCTTCTGAAGATAGTTCTCTGGCTGTTTTGGACGCGAAACATTTTTGTGGATTCCATTGACGGCGCTAAACATGGGGAGGTTCACAAGTGGTGAAGTCCGCCTCTGCATCGCCAAAGGGCCCAAACAAAAATACAGATTGGGCGTCCCGTTTGGGCGAGGGGAGGGGAGGGGAGGGGAGGGGAGGGGAGGAGGGGAGGGAGGGGAGGGGGAGGGGAGTGGGGAGGGGAGGGGAGGCCGTTCTTCACCTCGGAGGGGAGGGGAGGGGAGGGGATGTGTCATCCTGCTTACTTTCCCGCTTGCATGGCCGTTCTTCACCTCGGAGAGGTGCCTGTGGAACAGTTATTTGGTTGCTGATGTGTTCACCTTCTTCTCGTACGGTCATGACTTAACTTGGCCAAGCACACCACCAGCCCATTCTATCTGTTTAGGCCCTTCTAGTGCCTTGGTTTCCTTTCGTGCTTACAAGCGTTGGAGCTGTGCCTGGCGAGCTTCACGTTACCAAGACTTCGGCTGCACAGTTTGAAATGAGGGCTTTGGGCTAGAGGCAGTTTTGTTCGAGGGAGAGCCTGCCTGGGGCACACTGACTGGGAGGTCCTGGAAGCCATTTTCCTTTAAAGGGGACCCTCTGGGTTCCATGGCAAGGTGGACTGGAGGCTACCTCTTGACTCTTGACCATGGGATTTGTTCGCCCCGCTCTGAAAATTCCATGCACCACTCCAAGGAAGGACCGCCTGAAGACGCTGCGAGACCGCCTGGCTCGGTACAACGCATGCGACAAGACCGCGCAAGAAGCTGCTTGGTAGGATGTGTGTGTGTGTGCGCAATTTGTGTGAGCATACCCTTTTTACCGTGGTTTGAAGGGATAGCTACATGGAAATCCGCCATTTGTTGTGGCTTCCCCTACTGTGTGGTCGCAACTTTGGGCAACATGCGGGAGTGGGAGTGTACCTGGCGGCTGCTGCTGCCTGGGCCCATGGGCCAGGAATCCCTGTTTCGACTTTATCGGGTTACTTAATATCAAAGTTCAAGTTAGTTTTGTTTGTTGAGGCTGGACTTATGCTCATAGGTGGTGGGATTAATCCCCACGGTGGCCGCCAAAGAGCCCAGTTCCGCTTCAAATTGGGAAAGGTTCCCCTTCGTTTCATCCCATCCGCTGGTTGGTTTCCTTTGATTCCGCTGGCATTCGGAAACTCCCGGGTCGCACGCGGGTTCAGCAGGCACTGGCAACTATGCAGCCAGGGTAGCAGACGCACGGGTTTGTTTCTCCCCTAGGGAAACAAAGCAGAATGAGGTGGGGTGCGATCAACTGAGCTTATCATGGAAGACACATGAGATTGTATTTGTCTGGGCTGTTCAAAGACATCCTTACCTTGGGTTGCGCAAGGGGTCCCCTTTGTAGTGGCTTCCCTGTAAGGGTTATGGATAGAATTTGCCTACATTGCGTTTGCAGGATTCTTTTGTTGGTTCCCGATCCGACGGCGGCAGTTGGCATTCGGTTCGGTTCCGGGTGAAACCAGCAAGTTCCTTCGCACAGGCAGAGTTTCTGAAAAGAGCCGAACCCACCTGCTTCCTAAATCAGCTTTGGGCGGTTTTAGCTGGTTCGAATCCGCACCCTTACCAGGGTTTACATGGGGTTAGCTTTTTTGATCAACTGTTCTTTTCTTCTGAGGGTTTCGGGGTAAACCCACAAGGTCGTTAGACGACCTCTACGGCCCGTGGGGCAGAGGGCTTGCTCCCAGTGGGCTTCGATCTAAGGAGATCGCCACAGAGCAGGAGCTGGCGGCTTGGTGGCAGCGCCGCGCCGCGGAGCACCGCGCCGCCGTCGAGCGCCTCACCGAGGAGCAGGGCAGACGGGCGTCAGCCGCCCCGTTGCCCCATTGCCTCGGAGTCGGGGAATCGCGGGAAGCGGAACCAGTCGGGGACTTTCACTAGGTCAAGACTTGCCCAAGGACGTCAGGTTCATTAGGTCGGGACTTTTCACTAGGTTGGGACTTGCTCTTCTTTTGGTGGTTTCAAAAGGGACCTATCAGTACTGGAAAGTTGTTTTGTTGCAGGGGACTCAAGCAAAATTGAAGGCAGGAATGCCAAGAGGAAATCGGACCACCCAGAAGTAGTGTGAGTAGTAATTTTCATTCAGAAGTATTTGCAAGACATGCTTGTCGGTGTATGCTTCATATGCGTCCTATGTTGATGTTTCCGTGTTTGCTTGTTTGTTGGTTTGTTGGTGGGTGTGTTTGTTTGTTGGTTTGTTTGTTTGTTTGTTGGTTGGTTGGTTGGTTGGTTGGTTGGTTGTTTGGTTGGTTGGTTGGTTGGTTGTTTGGTTGGTTGGTTGGTTGTTTGGTTGGTTGGTTTGTTGGTTGGTTGGTTGGTTGGTTTATTTTGTTTGTTTGTTTGTTTGTTTGTTTGTTTGTTTGTTTGTTTGTTTGTTTGTTTGTTTGTTTGTTTGTTGTTTGGCGGGCTGGCCGGCCATTCCGCATAAGCAAGAACAGTTTAGTGTGGTAGAAATGTCATACGTTGACTGCTTGGCCAAATTCACTGCGGCAAGTTGAGGCTGGGTTCTCCCTTCTGCCGGTGGTTTAGCTGACCGATTCACAGACTTGAGATCACCTAGACCCGGATGATTTGCTTTGGTTTCTCCTGAACGGTTGAACCAAGTTGGAATCAACTCGGGGGAAAGGGTTGGTTTCCTTTCAACTTTTGGTTTCCAGCCAGAAACCAAACCACTGGGTGTGGCAAAACCAGGTTTGAACAATCTGGGCCCCCTCAAAAGCCAGTCAGCGTAGCAAGAACAGGTTTGAACAATCCCCTTTTTGGAGGGAAGCCACTCAAGGCCTTTCCCAAAACGGTGGCAATGCCTGGGTGGCCAAAATGTTAGTTTGTTTCTAAGCCTTGGCCACCTCAGGGAAACCAATCGGAGATGGAACAAAAGTGCAGTAAAACGGGTTAAACCCAACCCTGATCCAACTCCGCCCTTTAATCCCCGAGAACAAGTAAAGACTAGTGTGACTGGTGTCTTTTTCCAAAGGCCATGAATTGAGTTTCAGCATTGTGCTAGGGTTGAATCGCAGCAGGAGCGTCGGAAGCAGCGAGAGGCCAAGAGCGCAGAGATCACTCGACTGCAGCGGGAGGCCGGGTGAGTGGATTCCTTTGACCTGAAGACAGTAAAGAGGGACTTATTTCGCTGTCATGGGCAAGTGGTGTTGCTTTTTTGTTCATTGTTTAGCAGGGGGCTGCAAGAAACACAAGTATTTGCTGCCATACCAAGGGTCGTGAGTCAAATCGTGGGAGCCCCTCGCAAACTCGTTGCAGCCATAGCACTTGGCTAATCTCAAGATCATCCCAGCAGGCCTTTTGGATATTATACACAGGACTTCAGTGCCTGGCTACTCCAAAAAGCTCATCAGGTCAATGTGGAGGAGCTTTTGCCTAACACAGGCTGATGCAAAGCCTGCCATCACACTATTCAGCATCAGAACAAATGCTACCATACTGTGGATGGGCGAAATCCTGCACCACTTTGCAACCATGGTTTGACAGGGGAATCGTCATTCCAGGGGTTTCTTAGGTGGTGCAGGTTTTCGTCCATCCACAGTAGCTCCAACCTGTCACCGGAAGGGAATATTTGAGTAGCTTCAACACCGTGGTGGTCCGATGAGGTGCGGCACTACCAGCGCCGAATGCAAGGCTTGGAGCAGTGCCTCAGTGGGACTCGTGCGGTGGGTCTGTTGTTCTGCTGCCGGGTGAAGACAACTTTCAAGCTAGCCAGGGGCAAAATATGTACATCTCGCAATTGGCCTGCCGGCAAATCCGCCAGAAACCCGAACTACGGCCTTGGTTTGAGAGGTAAGTGGCTCGCACATGGCCACTCAGGGCCAAGGGCATGTTGAATCCTTGTGGGGTTCTGAAACGAGTAAAGGAAACCAACCAGTTGGGCCTTTCGAAAATAGACCTTTATGCTGTGCAGTGGGAGGCTGTTGGATCCTGAGTTCATTGACTTCATACTTTTTTGGAAGGCCATGGTAGTGGAAAATACCTAGTTTGGACAGTTTTTGGGCCACCCACTCAGGAAGGGAGGCAGACGAAAAGGTTGAACTTCTAGTTTGAGGATGTTTGACTTTGAGTCTGGATCCACTTCCAGGGTAACATTTACCTATATCTGACAAATCATTTGACTGAAGTGATGGTTTAAAATGTTTACATTGCTCTTAGAGTTCAAAGATTGGCCAAGTCAGCCATTTTGAAGTGTTCAAAGTAATTCAAGACTCCTAGAATTCACCCAATCGCCGGACATTCGCCGTCCTTTCATGGGTCTCATGCTTCCTTTTGCGCGAGCGTAGAACATATCATGCACGCATGACATTTGTTGCATCCTTGAGCTTACTGCCTTGGTGACTTCGATTTTGACGCGGGGCGAATCGCCGCATGCTTTCCCTTTGGCCATTAGTAGCTATTTGGACCCATTTTGGCAGTGGAACTCGGCAAAGATATTTTGATTAAGATTCCAAACGTCCCTTGGCCGCCAAGAGCCACGCTCCGTTTGTTGTTTTGAGCAGGGTACGCTTCCCCTGGTGCTTTTTGTCCCGTTCTGTGGAAGAAACTTTCGCCGAGTATCGCATGTGAAGTTGGAAACCCTGATCAACATGCACTGAACAGATACCGACCCTTCTGATCCCCACTCTGTAAGTGACTTACCCCGGAAGAGGGACGCTCCCCAGACATGCCTCCGTTGTGGGTACAACAGCGATGTGGAGCTTGACCCCCAGTTTTTCTTGCAAAATGGTAGCGCGCGGTGAACTACTTGTAACATGATTTGCCCTAGTCGGCTGCTTGAACATCAATCCTTCACCCCAGGAGCCCCCCATTTTGAAGATCCAGTTTGGGGAAGCCCGTATGAAGTTAAAGAATTGTTTGAGGGAAAGACGAAGGGTTAATCTGTGGTTGGTCGTTGGGGATCCCCCCCCTCCAGTGATGAAACAATTGAAACAAACCATTTTGATTGTACCCCTTTTCCGCATTCAAAGGAAAAGTCAAAGGGACAAAGCCCATCACATGTTGGGTGTGCTCTCTTCGGTCTTCCCATCCAAAACGTCCATTTGCCGAAGTGAATAGTTATTTCCGTTTTTTCCCTTGCTGGTTTCACGGAGAATCTATCACTGAGCAAAGCTTTTTCAGTTATAGGGGGCAGAAATTCAAATGGAAGACAAGCTCCACTTCGGTGAGTCCATGGCTGTGAGGTACTGGGAGCAGTTCTTCGACGCCGAGCTCGCGGCGGAGGTGATCGACCTGCTGGCAGCAGAGCAGCGAGCCAGGCGCGCGAGACGAGGGCTGAAAGCCGAGAGGTTGACTTTTCGGGGTTCGTGCAAAACATTTGGGCCATCAAATGTCCAACAGTCTGGGCTCCCTGAGGGAAAAAAGAGGAGGGCACCCATGCTGTTGGACCCTCTTTGCACGCCCACCCCCCCCCCCCCCAAAAAAAAAAAGAGAGGCCCACCGAGAAAGAGTCGGGTTCCCTGAAAAAAAATGGGGGAGGCCCAAGATGTCCCTCCCCGTGTTGTTTAGATAGATTTCACCTGCAACACTCACAGGGTAGACAGGCCTCTGACTGGTTTTGGGGGCCCGTCCTTTTCTGGGGGTTCGATATTGATCAATGGCAAAATGCCGGCGGACCATTGAACATTTGTTTAACGGCGTTGTCGAGCTCCCCAAAAGCGTTTCCAGCTTTTGAGTCTTCAGCTTTTTGGGCAAGTGAGAATCTAGCTTGTTGCCTGCGCTTGTTTGAGATGGCTTCCAATTTGAGGTTCTTGTTTCCCTTTGCTCTTTTGATACCTTTCACCGCCAGGGGTGCATCCAAAGCGTCAATGGAGCACCCTGGGCCAGGGCTTTCCGTTTTGGAGGGGTCAAAGCTTCCATAAAGTATCGCTTAAATATCACATCCAGCTCGTGGCCTTTGGGAAATCAGGAGGTTCTTCACACAATACTTGCTTAAACGTGGTTTAAACTAGAGGTCCGGCCGTCTGCTTTGTCTAATTGGGCTTAAGGTCGAAGTTCTGAGCCCTGAGTGAGACAGGGTCTGAGTGCTCATGATTTCGTTTGGGTTTGGGTTCCCGTCAAACTACCTTGAGCCAGCATAGAGGGTAAAATTACACATGTCACTTTCATGGGCGCAGTCCTTTACTCACGGAAAGGTTCTTGTTTCTGAAGAGCACCCGAGTAGGCAATTACTCCCCCCCAGTGAGCTGGGTATGTGTCTATATACGGGGACGCCCAAAATGGTTCTGTTTTTTTTCTTTGTTTTGGTCCAACCGTCCTTCAAATGGGTACCCTCTCTAGGCCTTAGGAGTTAACCTTTTTGGTCACAATGGTAACAAAAGAAGAGACCCAGCGGTAGAACGGAGAGAATTCTAATAGACCAGAAGATGGTCCAAAGACCAAACACGGATCTAGTTTTTTGCTGGCTTGTTTTCAAACCAACCTTCAAATGGGGAGCCTACGGCGAAGTCCCAGGCAGCTGGAGCAGGAGATCCAGCAGTTACTCCGTTCCTCCGCCCCCGCGGCTGCTTACGCAGGGCCCATCTTCCTGGAGGGTGACTCGGGTCTTCACGTGCTCCCGATGTTATTTGAGCTCTTTCAACGGGTGTGGCTCAAGTTGAAGGACCCGGCCCGCAGATTTTGTGATGCAAACCGAGGGGGGGGGGGGGGCTGCACCCTATTTTTTAGAGAGCGCGCCGAGAATTTTGCATGTAAAGGTCCATTCTGGAACAGATTCAAGCATAAAAACCACAAAAAGCTGACGAAGCTTTTACCCACCACGAGAGGTGATTTTTCAAGTTTGCAGACTGTCTATTCAGCTGGCTGTCATGGGCCCCCCAAGGACTTTCCAAAAGGAACCTATTAGGCCTTATGTGTCCGTGTCGGGAACCATAGGGCAGGTCAACAAAGCGTCGAAGGGGGGGAGGGGGCGGAATCAGCGCGTGGTTTTCCATTGCACCAACAAGGAAGGAGGCAACAAACTGATTGTTTCTTTGGTTGGTTTTTCGCTGGAAAACCCACAAACAAACTTGGTGTCCGTTTGAAATTAATTAAGCCAACCAAGTCCCTGTCAAATCACCACCAACAAGCACACGTCTTTCTTTGGCGGCTTTTGCAAGCAAGCACTTAAGCAACATGTTCCTCTTTTCCGGGGAATGTTTTTTTTTTGTAGCCGGGAAATGTGTGTTGTCTTAGAAATGTTGAGTGTTCTTCAAGACGCTCAATTCAACAAAAGAAGTCGTCCCCTTCATTCCATACGTTTCCCCCTTTTTGGTTTCGGAGTAATGGATGGTTTCCCCACCCACTATGGTCAGTCCTGCAAAGGGTTCTAGCCCAATTTCCAGTTCTGTCGAGAGAGTTTGTCCAAGTTTAAAGCCAACACAGTTTTTCCTAACTTTGACACAAACCCTCGCATTGATTCAGGGGACTTGAAGTTGAGTCCCCATTCTTTTCAAACATCGTTCTTTTCAACATCCAGCTGTTTCCCCAGGGTTTTGGGTCCCCCTAGAAGGTACCCCAAGAAGAGGACTTCCAGTTCCCTTCGGCGTTTCGGAGGCGAGGGCCGCTTGCAGCTGGCGCCCTTGCCGCAGCTCATCGCGGCGGCGGACGCTCATCGAAGGCTGTACCAGGCGGAATCGGATGGCCATGGAGCCATGGAGCGCATGTCGGGGGCCCATCTGGCGATTTTTTTTAGAGGGAACCCCCTCCAAAGTGGTTGGTGGACATGGAACCCCACCTACATGATGTCCACCATTTCGGGTCCCTAATTAGAATTCAGACCCATTTTGATGGGAGAACCCCAAGGGGGGGGGGGGGTTGGGGGGGAATTGTTGGGGGTTTTAGTTGGCTTATCTTTGAGACACCAAGAAAAGCAGTAGCTTCGGAAAAGGACACGGCCGTATTAAATGCCAGGGCAGAAATGCTATTCCTGTTTTTGGGTGACAACCCCCCCCCCCAAAAAAAAAAGGCAAGTCGGCTCACTCAGGGTCCATTTGTTTCCCCGAATCCTTGGGAAACCCATGCGGTTTCCAAAGGCTTGGAGGGGTCAGACCCAACATGGTGCAAATCCTTGGGGCTGGCACGGTTTGAGTCCAGGCTCTAGCCGTTCAGGGAACCAAAAGGATGAAACATGTTCAATCAACGGCCCTTTGGTTTTGGACCACAGAAGTGAGTATGAGAGGCTGACACGGTTGGTGTTTGGGGGCAAGCTCGTGGACGACCAACATTTCTTGCAACGGCTTGTTATATATATATATATATATTCGGCCCCCCCAGCTTGTGGCCCCTGGCGCCTTTTGATGCAGCACCTTCCGACGGCCTGAGATGGGCTTCTGGCACCCCTTCTGTGGATGGCCTACCAATGCGGCAGAGAGAGGGAGAGATACTCAGCCCTACTTGTCCGTAGCCTGCCGGGAGTCATTGGCTGGGGCCCAGTCAAGGAACAGGAATCCTTATATTTGCCGTGGAAGGTTCAAACAGTGCATTTGGCTTGCCAATTTCGAATGACTCTCCATGTTTGGTGATGTTGAAAGGCGACATGTCAAGCCTGACGGAATTAAGAAATGCGGGGTTCTGTTGCCCCTAAAATGGAGTCCTTTTCCTGAGGGAAGAACGGAGATTTCTGAGCTCACAAATGGGCCATGTTGTGTGCCAAACGGCCCGCGAACCATTCAGGGCCGGTCCCTGGACTGAGGTTGTTGTCCATTTCAGTTGTGCCTGGTGGCCGTCTGTGGGGGAGGGGAGGTTTGACCCCAGGTTCAAAAGGAAAAGCAGATCCACCATTCAGTAGGCGTCCTTTCGCGCACGCAAGTTGACAATAGGCGGGATGTTCTCAGCCACGATTCAATGAATATGGCGAGGCGACCTGAGGATTGGCAGGGCAAAATGTAGGTTACCAAGAGCTCGGCTGGCCATCTTTCACCACTAAGCCCTTTGTGAACTTCAGCCGGTAGGGTTGTTTAGGAGGCTTCAGGGCTGCTGGCAGCTTAGAGACAGTCCCCGAGAAAATGTGGGGTGCTTGACTTTTTAATAGCCACCATTAGCCACCCCTTCGTATTGAGGGCCCAAGTGTTGGTGATGATTTGGTTGGCATGGTGCACCAAAGCTTGGCGTGGCCAGCGTTTGGGGAATACGAGCTTATCCAAGAGGGTTTCTTACCTGCGGCCCCTTATCTCCCGTTGTTTGTGCAGATACTTTTCAGTTTGAGCCACCGGTAGTCGGCGTTTGTGTCGGCCGGTTTGGGCCTCTCGTTGCCGGGATGTTTCGAGAAGGTGGAGATGGATCACAGGAGGGAGCTCAACGAGATGACCGACTTCTGCAACGGCCCCGCGGCTTCAAATTTGGAGTTCGCCCAAATAGCAGAATGGGTATGTTTGGTCCTGTTTCCCTTGGCTGCAAATTGGCTTGTTCAAAATGGATATGTGACGGGCTCCTTTTTCATAAATTTGGCTGGCTTAACATTTGCACGTTCGCTTCAATCCCCTTTCTCAATGTCTAAATTGGTGCGGCGTGGTGTTCATACATTTGTGTGCTTTGAAGGCAGCCAATTTCCCAGACAGACCAACAAGCCCAGCGGTAGAGCCTGACCTTTTCTTCAACAAATGGGCGACTCTACAAGCAAAGGGGCTTGGCCAACGATTGGCTCAAGCCATTTCAACTTTGTGCGGTGTCACGGTCTTTGTGCCCTTAGGCCCTTAGACCTTTTGGAAACCAACGGCTGTTCCACGAAACCTACAAACGGTGATCGACCTGTGCTCAGCTGGGCTTGGAGCAACCCAGTGCTGAGGCAAGATCGCTGAGAAGGATGACAGCGCCTTACTCAGATCTAGCTTTTGGCTTTTTGGTTGTGGCTTTGATCTTAGGAAGGTAAAGCAAATCGATTGCATAGGTGCTGTCTGCAGAGGTCATTTGCTTATCCTTTTGGATCGTTGCACCCATGGCAGTTCCTGTTTGGTTTGGGGTTGATAGGGTCATGATGTAAATGGCCAAGTTTAGGGAACTCTGGTCCAGAAAAGGCATTATGGGCTTGATCGAGCAGAAGGTTGGAGAGGTGGTGCAGACGAAGTTTGACCGGTCTGAACAAGCCTCCTGGTCGACCATCGCCTACATGATCAATCAATCTCGAGAGAGGCGCTGTGTTTATCAATCGGGCGTCAGCATTTGCAAAGAGAAGAGCACCGGTCAGCCAGGGTCAATGCCAATTCTATGGAGACAACTAACATATTCAATGTTAACCAGCAACCTCGAACCGCCCAACAAATGTAGATGCATAGTGACACACACACACACACACACAAACACTTTCACCCACACACGCGCACACGAAGACTCAAACACAGGTCAGTCGTACTGAAGCGCGTCAACTAAAGCGCGTCAACGCCTGCATTCACAATATGTTGATTGACGAACATGTTTGTTATGGCTGGTAAATTTATTCCAGTTATATATATATATATATACACCAAGCTGCCTATGTGTTTTGCCGCATTCGGCCGCAGCCAAAGGCATCATGCACGCTACCAATTGCAAAGCTTGAAGCACAAGCTGTCCTTTGTAAAGATTGGGCTGCTGAGCGCGGCTGCCTTTTTCAGGGCTGTCCGTTTCATGTGGGCAAGCTTCGGAGTAGGACCTCAATCAATAAGGCACTTGCATTTTGCGTGCACTGACATTTGCTGTAACTTTGATTTATCTTTCAAGTGAAGCCCATGGTAAGACAACTGGCACTAAAGATTTGCGTCGCTCAGGCTGATATTTAGTTTTCAGGGATTGAGAACAGCAACTCCAAATTTGGAGTGCTGCCTAAGCACTCCATATTTCTGGCACTCTTTTCTGTACGTTGTATTTAGCATCATGGGCTCCTCCCGCCCTCAATTTGTTTCTGTCGCTCGAAAGACTTTCACTGCAGGAGCCAAGGTAGAGATTCAGTCTTCGAGTTTAGCGATCAGATTGGAGAGCCAAATCTTGAGCTACGGAGCCCCATCTCATGGACTTCTAGGGAGGCTATGGGGGGGCTATCCCTGGATAAACCTAGGAAAAGCCAAGGATAAGCCCTTAACAAAGGCCTCATTAATGGGATAACAAGGGATAGCCCCCCTCCCCATAGCCCCCCTTTGGGGTCCATGACCATCTTTTTGAATATTCCCGCAACTCCCAAACGACTACCTGCAGAACAGAAAAAGATACCCAACCACAATACATTTGCTGGAAGGGGAGACGCCCCAGTTTAGCTTGGCGGTAGTGGTTTTGTTGTACTCTTCCAAGGTGTTGGCAATTTGGATATGCTGAGCAATCGTTGCCTGTACCAGATGTGATTCGTGTGCCTGTACCAGATGCAGGCGCCAGTATCAAGCATGTGCTGCCCATTCAGCTAACAAGGGGGCAGGAGTAGAGAAATGTCAAGAGAAACTCTCAGCCCGACAATTTGAGTGGCTGAGTGGTTGGAGCAACAGCTTAATCGCAAGCAGGGCCAGGAACATGTCCTGTAGCTTTCCATGGATTGTGGTTGGTCAAATTGCTGTACTTGGGCCTGTCTCGAAATGGGGGCACCCAAATGATGGTTCTGCTGTTTCTCCTTTGCCAAACCTCAAAACCTTTTGGCGTACCAAGCCTCAAAACTAGACACCTAGGAGAGCCCACCACCGATGGGGTCAAAGAAGCGGACCATGATGAAGATCCTTTGCGGCATTCCTTAGGCATGTATACACTCCTACAAATTGACATGGAACCCCAAAACCGCCCTTTTTAGAGGAACATCCTTTTTGGGAACCCAAAATACTAGTTCAAAATTCTCTCCAGTAACGTTTACATGTTTTCTCTGTTTAAGACTTTTTAAGCACTGTTACTGTCTCCGCAAAAGTCACCAAGAACACCAACAACAAATGGTAATTATGTTTTCTTTATTTTTTTACCATAGATCCGTTATCTTCTACATCGCAAGTGATGTGAACTCTTGGTGTTTTAGAAATGATTATTTTACTGTATATATTTGCCATATTAATTTGCAGGGCGGGAGGGGTACTGTGGGTTCACAATTTTGAGGCCACATGGTATATCATGATATTTGAGGGAATTATTCGGCCAACAACAAGCAACGGCTCCAAACATGAGCAAACATCAGCATCCTGGTTGTATGGACTTTTTACGAAGAAACTCCATGAAGATGTGCCTTTGGGAGGTTACCCTATGTTTTACCCACCCCCATAGTGGTTCCTGGCTTCCCATACCCCCATTCCAGGCTGGACAGCGCGGCAGCGGCCAAGGAAGCCAAGGAAAAAGCGGAGGCCGAGGCCAAGGAGAAGGCGACTGGCGGTTGCCATCTCTGCTTCAGCACTTCCAAGCGTGGTGGTTCCCAGCCCGGTTCCTTAGGCCCGGCTTTTTGTTGTTTGGTGGTTGGGGGGTCTGAGGACAGCCCTACGAAGCTTACGTTTTGTACATGGTTGTATCCGATTGCTGATCAGGGGGAAGTCCGTTTTAGACCCGCAGAGGCATTTCTGCGGGTTTGTGTCTTCCATCTGTTTGGCGCCTGAAGGTGGAAAAAGAAGCACTTTGTAAACCAGGGGGGGTTAACCAAAGATTGGAGTTCCTGTTCAAAGGCAATCCTGAGAATCTTAAGGTGCCCCTGTGGCTTTGAGCCAACTTGGATGGCGACAAATGTGTGTCTAATAACCTATTGGCAAAACTTGAGATCCCTGG